AAATTCCCGGGTCAATTCCCAACAGTTGCAGATTCGGTGAATATTATGTATCATCACAGGTAGATGACATATATAGCCGGGATAATGTTTCGTATAAACGTAACACTTTAATACTATCAAAATGGCATTTTGGAAGTCTGCATTAGAAGAATATTTAACCATTTTTATATTATAGTTTTTACATCTACTGTATATTCAAAAATATTTGCTTGTTAAGCTATTTTTTCATAAGTATTTTTTTAAAGAAGAGGTATAGGATCGATGCCCCTGTTACCTCTTGTTTCATAACCTTTAGAGTGTAAAAACACGATTGATCTAACAGAGTACTTTCTAGAAATGTTCTGTAAATGTTAGATCTCAAATCAAGAACTGGACCCTTTATTTATTTTGTATTAACCCACGCACACTGATACCAATAAATATAATAAATATCTATAATCTACATTATTCAAATATTCTAATTATGTTATAATTCTGCACAGCATAAAGGGCAAAACAAATTCAGTAAATTTACATATTTTAGGTATCTCTGAACTTTACTTAAATTAGCTCTTGCCCGAAGTTCAGATTGTATCTTACAGGTTTATTCACTAAAGTCTGAATTGCCCCGAACCGAATGGGGCTAAAACCATCTGGCTGCATACAGATGTCTCTATCTAGTTCTGTGCTTATATTCCCCATTGTTAAAAACTTTAAGAAAAACCAAAGCACGATTGGTCCAAGCTATTGAACCAATATCGACCTCTAAAAACATATTCCAGGCAATTTGGGGTGGTTTAAAAAAAAATCTATACGTAAATAGGATTTATGAACAGGAGAAAAAAAGTGCATCCTCATTCATTTGGATGAATTACTCGGCAACAATCATATAGACAGTTTGTTAGAGAGTCCTTAATCTCCTTATCTAGTGGCCTACAGCCATGCCTATCGGGGGAGGTGAGACTGTGATAGCTGTCTTATTTTGGATTCACTACACAATTAAAGTTGTTTCGAATAACTAATCTACCGCAAAATAAAGTTTACATTTTATTTTATAATACCTTTCATAATTTCAATGGAGCTTGATTTGGAGCACAGATATTAACTAATGAATATAATATATTATTACGTTTTACTAGTACAATTTGATGGTGACCACCATCATCTGAAATATAGTGAATTACTTATATACCCCACCTTGGGATTGGCCTAGATAATTGCATTCTATTACTATAAAACAGAGCCAGAAATGGGAGTCTGAGCCATATTATTTAGAGGGATTATTGATACTCCCATTACGTTAATAGACACCCTAATTTAATTGGTAAACAGAGTTATACTTTATGTCAGTTTTCATTTTAGTAACAAATAAATAAAGCCTAATAAACTACTGAATATGTAACAAAGTGAATTACTCTGTCACCAAATTGTATTTATTTCCCTCTATTCTATCACAGCTGCATTAATTCTTAGGACTGTAAAGTGTTCCTTAAAAATATCAATATAGGGAACTCCTTCTGGGATCTCTTGAAATCTAATCATTCTTACCTATATTTTAAATTTATCAGATATAATAATCGCCACTCCCATTTAAAAAAAAAAACTATCATGTCCGCAGAAAACACGTTGGAATATTTATTAAAATTCCATCTTTTTTTCTGGTCCTAAATCCCATATGTTTCCTGAATCAGAGAAATATAATTTCTTTTTTTTCGACTAAGAGATTATAGAGGCTTCCTCTCTTCCGGGGGAGTATTTAAGCCTCTGACATTTAAAGTAGTAAATTTAATTGACATTGGTATTTAACCCTTTAAACGTATTGAATATAACCTCCTCTCTCTCCAAAGGGCCCCAAGACAAAAAACTAAATTTAACAGACATACTACATATCATTCTCACAAACCAAGAACTGCTTAAAACTAAAATTCCACATCACCCTCCCCCCCCACCCCCCCCCTGCTGCCACAGGGAACAATTCAGACCCTAAGTCATGCCTAACAGTGAACTAGTTTCATCTACTTATGTGACTTCAATATCATCTGAAAATGCTAATCTTTACCATGCACAGCTTCTAGTGTGAAGTATAAATGAAAAAAAAATAAATGTATTTGAGTGTAGTAAAAATGTAAAAAGTTGTTGTTTTTACAGACCTTAACTGAGAATTCTAAAGAGAATCCTTTAATTGAAACACGTACACATGATAGTGCTAAAAACCTCCTATTGGTAAATACGTTTTTAGTAATAATTCCGATATTAGTTATTCATCTTCCCCTCTCATTTTCGTTTAATTATTCATCGATTTCGTTGATTTTGATGAAACCTGAGACATTTGTCATTTTAAATACTTGATTTTAATCATCTATTAGTGAAAGCTTCAATATGAATTAAAAATAATTTAAATTTAAAGTCATAAAAATATATTTGTAGATTTTCTGTTTGTAATAATTTATATTCAGATTGGATTTTAACGAGAGTGTCTACTTGTAAAAAATGTAGCGGTGAGCTGAATAACTTCCTTCTTCAAGTCTTGCACATTATATTCCAAATCTCGTTTAATTTTTCTATACCAGTTATCTAACATCTCTGAAATGCTTTGGTGGGAGATTGTCGGGCCATTAAGAATAGAATCTCCTCCTGTAGTATCTGAGACATGTTGATCCATTTTTGCAGAAGATGCACCTGGCTGAATAGACCAAGATCTCCTTTTGTTCTACGGGTTTGCGGATTTAGGAGGGTAGTAATTACTAATTTGCTTAGTAGAATTAGTAGGATTTTTATCCTTTTCTTTTTCCTTGTTTGGAGCCATTTATGCAGAAACCACCCTCCCCCAAAACACTGACTTCCCCTTCATTTCTTCTTGGGTACAAACAAATCTCTGGATATGGTTCTTAGTACTTAGTAGATAGTATCAGAAGCAAAATTGGAATGAGTGAAAAGAAACGTATCTATGCATGCAGTTTAGCCTGGAGGTTAGAGGGGATTTACTTTCTCTCGTCCTTTAGTTCAGCTATAATTTTGAGTCTTATCCCCTCCTGTTCTCTGAGCTTCTTTAAACTTTAAAGTTTAAAAGCAAGAACTTGTAATAAAATTATCTTCATTTTTCAGAGTTCCATTAGATATCTTCCTATGTGTTCTCCAAATATGGGGAAAATAATCAAATGAGTATGAGGGTAAAGATAGGCTGGCTACAAAGAGCCATTGGTATGCTGCATAACATGGTTTCACAATTAAAACAATGTAGATTGTAAGAGTAAGTTGAATTATCATATTTTAGTGCAGAGAGATTCAAGGAAAGTCTTCGATGTGTTTGAAGGCTCCTTGGTCCATGTTGTTTGTTGACAGAGTCTCAGAGGCCAAACTTGCTCTATAGGAGATGAGTCGAGTGAGCCCCCTTGCTTCCCCAGTGTGTGACTCAGTCCCCTCAGTCCCTCTTCCTCAAACTTTAGCGCTGCTTCGCTGCTCCTGATACCCAAGTCGCTTGAGCCGCACTCCAGTAGGGACTCGGCTATTTGGGAGGGTTACAATTCACCATCCCATGCGTCCGTCCGCCAATCGACCGTTCAGCATTTGACCTTACTGGGATCAAATGGGTAACTTAAAATATTCACTGTATCTATATGTTAGAACTGCACTACAAACTTATATAGATGGTATCTAGTACCTACAAGACTTAGATCTCTAGAAATAACTCTGACATCTGTTGGAGATGCTACGTAGATAAAGAGCATATTTGGTGGGATTGCATAGGGTGAGACATTATTAAATCCCAAATTAAATCATGCTTACAAAAATTATTTGCTTTTTATGAGCTCACTCCTTATATGTTTCTATGGAATGTTGACTTCCCACCCTGCAAAAAAAGCCAACATTACTTATTAACTTGTATTTTTTTTTATGTTAAAAAATGTAATGGCCCGCAATTGGAAATCTCCTGATTTAAGTGGGTTAACAATATACAATCACATCTCCTATTAAAATAGAATAGAGTGTAGTTTTGATACAATTAGAGATACAGTTCAAAAATTTGAGACCTGGTGGCTACCATGTCAGAAATATTTAAGCCCATAAATTCTGACAATACACTAACCCATCAAGTAAATTGGTAAACAAATCCTTTTGGCCCCATCTAACTATTATTAGTGTAAGGGAGGGTAGGACGCAACTTTTCTTTAGAGGTTCAGTAGGCGATTGGGGACCTCTAACCACTGGTAAGTGGAGTCTTACTAATATTTGTAGTAGGGGACCATGACATGTACAACTCCTCTATTTTATAATTAATTACGCCCCCCCGCCCCCGCATAGTGCCTAGGGGAACTGACAACAGGTTTTATAAATATTGGGACTCCTACACGCTGGCATGGGTTGGGGAAAGGGACAATAGCCCTCCAATTTATAAATATTGTTAGGAGCAAAGGAACTTTGTCCCCCCTAATTATAAGTATTAGGGCCCCTACCTGCTGGCATTGTTGGGGATCAGGGATGTGGAGAAAAAGTAGTCTTAAAATTTAAAGTAACCCACACCCAATGCAATGTGTTGGGGCACGCAATGAGGCCTATTCTAGTAATTGGGCAGCACTGACTGGCCAGTTGCTAGTTTTAAAAATCTAGAAGACATGCTCCCACCTGCCATTCTTCCATTATAGCAAAAAGACGGTCTTATTGACCCCCATAAGATTTTTATTTACATAATTAATTTTGAAAAAAACATTTACGTGCCGGCTGGCTAGCAAGTGCTGGGCAGCTGCCACATAATTAATCCTGACACCAGGGTTTTGAACTATTTGCCTAGGGCATAAAGTAGGTGAACCATAATTGGCGAGGGTGGATCCTACCAGCCGCCATCTGAGAATGTGGTTGGAATTCGGTAATTTTGGTCGAATCCGGTCATTTAGTAAATAAGCCTGTGAACCTCGAGGTTTTCAAAAATTCAATGACTATTTATTATTATTATTGTTTTATTTAGAAAAAATTCAGTAATAAAAGTATTACAAGCCATAAGCCCTGACTTCCAGAAATGTCACATGGCTCTTGGGTTCTCTCATTTACATGATACAAGTCCAACTGGTCTAACAAGTTTCAATGCCATTGATATTTCTGAATCCAGACATCATCAAACAGATGGTCATATTGATCTCGATATCCAGAACTTCAAACGCAAACTTCGAGAACACATTCCAGTTTGTACTTCTCTTTGTTCCTCTTCTTCCAGATTGTATTTTAAAGCAAACTGTTCCCTTCCAGCATTGAGTCTCAGGTATGGTGTCTACACAAACACTGCACTCCCTGTGTTGTCATGTAAATGGGAGAGATACCTGCTAGTTTTCCTTTAACCTTGGAATTAAAGTGGATTCACACAAGAATTGCAATTTTTATTGTTAAAATGTAAAAATCTATCAGCTCTCCACAATTTGTAGTTTATTGCTCCTATTTTTTTTTTTTTTATGCTACTGCCAGGTGTATCTATCAATATATTGTTTACTAAGAATTTATAAATTTGGTTTAAGGTCTTGTCTCTGTTTTGTTTCTTATGAAACTTTATTAACAATTTCTGTGTAACTCCACTCCCCCGTCTAGACATGGTCCTTCGCTGGAGCAGATATTTACATTAATTGGTTTTCCTCCTTGTAACAAATATATATACGAGGCCTTGAACAACTATGTGATTGTAGTAACAATACTGGCATTATCTGCGCATTGATTGTTTATATTTTATATTATGTATAATATTATTTTATTTTATATCTGTCATATTATTAAACATTTTTTTAAAATACATAGTTCACACCCAGTTTCGAGTTCTATAAAAACAAATAGTCAGGAGACTAGCAATATATATTCTAAATAACCTGATAAAGGTTTTCTCCAAACACCATGACTACTTGAGTGATTTGAAGTGGTCATGGTGTCTGGAGTCAATATCGGTAACAGTGTTTTGCTATGAAATGCTGCACATACAGAGTTTAACTCCTCTGCTGCCGAATGTGTAACTCCACCCCCAGCAGCGCCATTATGGCGTTATCAAACAGTCTAAAAGTAGAGTTCCAGGCTGGCTAATATGAATTCTGTGTAACTATCATTGGACAGAATGTTATCTATTGGCTAAGAGTGACCACCTAACTTTCTCAGCCAATTAACGGCAGCAGTTGCAGTTTGTGGCATTTGTGGCTCTGCAGAAGCTGGAAGCGCATCACTGTATCCCCTGGTAGCATCAGAGCCTGACAAGAACCCAGGAAAGATGGCCAAAAATTTGGCAAAAACAATGTGCCCATAACCAGAGAAGCAGTCCAGGGTACCCCAGATATCATAACCACTACAGTGAGCTTTAGATGTATGCTTGGTGAACTCTCAAAACACCATAATCACTGCAACTAGCTGTAGTGGTTATGGTGTACAGAGTATCTTGGTGCTGCCCACAGTAAAATGTCACAATGTTTAAGCATGGTTTGGCAACTTAATTGAGTCCCTAATATAAAGCCATATTTATGCCATCACAAATGGCATAAAATGGAACTCAGCAGTAAGAGTAGTTGACTAAATAAACTTGTTATATCAGTTGTAATTATATTATCCTGTATAAGTGCATTGGAGTCTGGGTAATAAATAGCGATAAATACGAAAATGGGAGGTGGTCCCAAAGCCAGGGAAACCAAGGTCTGATGGACCACCACCACCGAGGTCAACAGCGCTGTAACCCTAACAGAAATATACAAATAATTAGAAAACACTCTGAAGGACCCCAAAAGATAAGTAGATCAATTAGGGGAGGGCAGTAAAGAGTAAAAGAGAACCCTAAGTTTTATTTGATAACTAAGGTAAGCTGAAAAAGGTATAAGGTGAAAAAGCAATTAAAATGTCAACGATCCATAGTAATAAACCTTGAACTTAGTAATAGAAAAGTACCCCATTACTAGTGGAAGGAGAGGGAATAGTATATTGGAAACATTAATTGATCAAAAAGATAAATGTATAAATGAAAAATTACACAGGAAAATGAAAAGGTATCCAATAGGGCAACGCGCTAGAAAACGTGTATCAAACCAAAAGTTAGAAAGAAAAATTCACTGAAATATAATTCAGACCCGGATTACCTTGGCACCATAGTTTTCTCTACTAGTGCCCACCTGAACCTGCCGGCCCTCAGACATAAATTGGTACAAAATAAAGTGCTACCCATAATGTGCAAAAAGAAAAGAATTTTGTTTCTGCATATTAACACGCCGTCATCAGGGAAATAAAATAAAAAATACAAAAATGGATACAATCTTGTATTTTCATTTCGTGACATGTAATCTGCTGTCTGCTACCAACTCGAAAAGTTAGTTTTTGTGGCTATTGTTTGCCTAATGAATGCAATTATATCTTTAAACCTAGCACCTGTTTGATCTGTGGATGAATGGATAAAAAGGAATCTTCTGATTGGCTGTGCCTAGATTGGATTTGTTAGCTCGGGCTATTTAAGGGGAAGGAATAGTCAACTGAGATTTATAGAGCCTTGATTCTTCTACTGTACTGACTGACAGGTAAGGAGCTACTCTGGGATCTCCCTGCTCATTGCTACTCTCTCTCTGTGTATTTTCTATATTATCTGATTTATCTTCTGCAAAGTACAGTTTGTTACAAAATGTTTGTCTAATATTCTGGGCTTATTCTTATATACTAAAAATGTCACTTTTTTATGTTACACTCACTCTAAGGATGGTGCTTTGTGAAGTTTCTGTTGTTTGTATTTTTGTAGTAGTTTATTGCTTATATATTTTATAAAAAATCCAGTTTGTATGATGTGAAGCTAAATTAATGAAATAAAAAAAAAAAACCTGAATTGTATATTTCTCCCCATTGTAAATATTTTAGTCTACATTTTGCAGTTCATCACAGCTCACAGTGTACAAACCCTTTAACATTGCCTTAATCTATTTTATTTTTTATGTTTTCATTTTTCCCCAGATATATGAAAATGCCATCATTCAACCTGTTTGGATATTTCATCTTATTTGGTCTTTATTTTAACTGCTTTAGTGCACTAGTAAGTTCTATTAATTGACGTTCATACTATGTAAATATATGTTAACGATTTATTATAATTAACGTTAATATTGTGATGGCACATTGAGAAGTTTATTTTATAATATGTGTCCATTAGTCAGTGCTGATTACTTTAATAATTGCTATTTGTTAAATTACTATTTATTACATTAATTATTTATTAAATGTATTATTTATTTGAATTATTGACATTTATTTATTTGTAACCATTTTTCTCTTTCCAGCCTGTGACAGATGATCCAGTCATTTCAGGTAAGTTGTGTTTAAGTGTGCTGTTACTCAATGCTTTCCTCTCTCAGCAAACCTTACTGTCTGTAAATACCTAATATATGCAACGGATTTAACTCTAAATTCTAACCTTGTATTTCAATTAAATAATGCTGTTTGATTACATTTTATTTTATCACTTGATATCATTTTATTCCAAATCTGACAACTTTGAAAAAGTAGTGGGAGACAAAATGTTTCAAAATGTTTTTTTTTATATTTAAAAAACAAAACAAAACAAAAACAAACTCTGAACTGCAGCAGATGTGAATTGCAAAACTGAAGCAAAAATTGTCAATTTAAAAAACAAATTCTCCAACTCAGCCATGGAAGCAGTTTAGTTATTTTAGTAAAACTTTTGACATTCAGATTCCATTTGTTACAATATTCATACTTTTTTACGACATACTTTTTGTCTCGTTAGAAAAATCTCTACAAAATGTTATTTTAAATATATGTTTATTATTTAACAATAAATATGCTGCACAACAATTTGGGATTAATTTACTGAACACAAGTTGCAGTGAACTGAAAGTAAGTATTGCAAAATGTAGACAAAAATTATGATTTGGAAGGAAGATTTTCTAAGAATCTCCTCACCTATAGTAACAGTTTGGCTATTTCATTTTAAGATTTGCAATTTTAATTTTCAATTCACAATAATTGGACGTTTAAAGAATAAACCTGTCAATGTGTTTTATTAGTTTGGATTTGCATTTTAATAATTATTATTTTATTTCCATTTCAGGATATGACTGCTCAGATATTTGGCTTAGAAACCAAAGCTCTGTCAGCGGCGTTTACAGAATTAAACCTATTGGAGCTGCAAATTCATTCGAGGTAGGAATGTTACCACAACTTGCTGCAAAATGTTAGTCAATGGAGTCTAAGGGCTGTTAAAATAGTTTTTGGCTCGGTGTCGATTCATTTATTATACCGAGAATTCTGGAATATTGAAACGAGAACTAAAAATGTTATCCTGTCCTGACATTCATGATACCATTTTTACATTTACAAAAAATCAATTTTATTAAACTGATTTGTAAATTCTAAATTTCTACATTCTACACTGTTTTATTCCCGAAAACCAGCTATTGACCTGTAGATTTGTCCATTCAGTGTCAAAGCAATTATGATTCGTCTGAAATCTGGGCAATTGTCAAGTTCTCTGAATTCCGTAAATTCAAATCGCCATATGACCAAATCACAAAGCAAGGAAGGAACTAGCTGTTTCGTTGTTTTGTGATTCAGAGTTTTGTCTGGGTATAAAAACAAATGTTTTTTGGTTTGTTTTTTGTCATGCACAACTCTATAGATCAGAGAACTGAATATTTTTGGACAATTTTTTCTTACAAAGTTCTTTGCCAGCTCAGCTATTTTGCTTAAACTTAGCATTTTTCTGGTTAGTTTCTAACAATTCAATGTTCAGCGAATAAATTGATTGGGTGTTCTCCCTATGGCTACCTACAGCTAACTGCTACATGCTTGTTTTTTATTATTAGGTTTTAACCAGAAAGGGAGGATTAGGAGATAAAGCAGAGATACTTAGCTACTAAACTTTGAATTGCGCTAAATTGCTTATTGAATTAGTGTAGACTAAAATTGTTACATTTCAAGCTAGGTAGATACATTTGTTCAAACTGAGAAATTTTTGCCTCAGTTTTTCAAACTTGGCTTCCAGTTTGAGCAATTTCCTGTTTATGAAATTAACTTCACTATTGACATGTAGTTTTTTTTTGTAAAGTTTAGTGGTTGGTCCACTAAACTGGGGGATGAGAAACCTGCTGACAGTTTAATTGATACGCTTTAATGAAGAAGTGAGTTTTCAGAGATTTTTTGACGGAATGGAGGCTGGGTGAAAGTCTGATTGAGGAGGGAAGGGAGTTCCACAGAATAGGTGCAGCCCTGTAAAAGTCTTGAAGGCGAGCATCAGAGGTGGGGATCCGGGCAGAGGATAGGAGTAGGTCTTGGGCTGAGCGCAGGGGTCTCGATGAGACATACTTGTGTATGAGGGAGGATAGGTATGTTGGAGCAGCATTATGTAGGGATTTGTAAGCAAGCGCCAGAATTTTGAATTGGGCCCTATATCTAACTGGAAGCCAATGCAGGGACTGACAGAGCGTGGAGGCGTGGGAGGTGCGACCGGACAGGAAAATACAGCCGTATTCATTATAGATTGCAGCGGTGCAAGCTGGGAACATGTAAGACCGGTGAGAAGGGGAATTGCAATAGTCAAGGCGAGAGAGAACAACAGCATGAACCAGTACCTTAGCCGCGTCCGGCGTTAGATATGGGCGGATGCGCGCTATGTTCTTGAGTTGGAAGCGACAGGATTTGGCTATCGATTGAACATGGGGAGTAAAAGAGAGATCAGAATCAAAAAGAACTCCTAGGCAGCGAGCCTGGGAGGTAGAGGTGATAGTAGCGCCGTTGACTTGGATGGCGACAGACACAGGAGTAGCAGCACTTGAGGGAGGAAAAACTAGAAGTTCTGTTTTGGACAGATTGAGTTTAAGGAAGTGAGCAGCCATCCAGTTGGAAATAGCAGAGAGGCAGTCAGAAACACGAGTCAAGGTTGGCGGAGAGAGATCAGGGGAGGACAGGTAGATTTGCGTGTCATCTGCATATAAATGGTATTGGACGCCATAAAAGTATATGATTAAATAATTAAATGTTATGTTTTGAAATACTACCTGATGGTAACAAAATGTTGCTGTTTGACCTGCAGACTTTCTGTGAAATGAAGGAGGACGGTGGCTTGACTGTAATCCAAAGCCACAATGGAAATGATCAATTGCCCTTTGACACAGATTGGGATGACTACAAAGAGGGATTTGGAACTCTAACTGGTAATTTCTGACAATTCTATTTTATGGCCTTCAATAGCAAACCTGTTCATACAATGATGACAGAATGTGCAGCCCAGCCTGTATACATAGGGGTGTGCTCTGAATTAAAGACCTTCAATTACATTTCTCACTGATCCTGTGCAGGTCCTCAACTGACAGAGAAACAAACTGTTAACCTTGTAGTACAGTTACTCCTTCTGCCTTGGCCACAAACACTGTGTAGGATATTGGGCCCTTAATAGCAGAAGGTGATGCTGTTGGAAAAAGAAGGGAAAGCTTGAGAGTGGGGTTGGGACCCTACAGCACTCCAGGTGTTGTGGACTACATCTCCCATAATGCCCTTACAGCCATAATGCTGGCCAATTATCACGGGAGATGTAGTCCACAACATCTCAATTACCGAAGGTTGTCTTAAATATAATCTGAAAATAATACTCACTAAACCAGGAAGTAAATCAGCCAGTTACGATGCTCATTATTTCTAGCACTGCTTAGCTGATCCCATAGGCAGTACTTTAAATCCACAGGGGTTTCTTGGAGTTGTAGTTCAATTAAAACAAGGAGGGATGGTGAGGAAGTGTAAGATTATAGAGGGAGACTAATTTTAATTTTAAGAAAAACTAGTGAAGATTAATAAAATAATCCGTTCAGCATAACTAGCTGTATCCTACCCAGCACATTACACCAAACCAAATGTATGTGTCTGCTTTCAGCACCCCCTTTAATATATAGAGACAATTCCCTGTGTAGGTACTGGGCTATTCTATGACGGAATGTGTGTGATCTCAATGTCATTTCTTGTTGAAGGGGAACACTGGCTGGGACTTGAGAAGATGTATCTGCTGACCCATCAGTGTTCCAGAGCTGCAGACCTGCTTATCACCCTGGGCGACTTTGATAAATCAGAGGCTTCTGCGCTATACAGTCCTTTTACCATCGGCTCCGAGGACATGCAGTACAGGATATCGCTGGGAAACTATTCTGGGAATGCAGGTACGGTCTGAAGATATCTGTAATTCCTTCTTTCCTTGCTCTAACCCAACAACAATGCTCCCTTCAGAACTGATACTAATAAAGGGACTGTTCTAGGAAATCTAAGAGAATTAGCAATTATCAAATAATAATAATAATAATAATAATAATGTGTATAAACAAGTCCACTATTGTGTTACGGCTGTTCCAAGACATATAGTCAATAAATATACTGAGATTTTTTTAAATAAATCGTACAGATTGGAATAGATCCGTCCCTGTAAATGGTACATTTTTTGTTTTCCTTTGATTTAGAGATTCCTCTTGAAAAGAATGTAAATGTCCAGTGCATGGATATAAAAACTGGATGCTTAGAATGTTCTGCATCGATATAACGTATTGTTACCTTGAAAGCTGAACTGTTGTCTTGATTTAATATTTTTGGATGATCTTTTCAAATAATTTAATGTTGTTGAATAAGTTTGAAAATTATAAAAAAAAAAAAAAATATTACAGGAACACAAGCATGTATAATCCAAAAACATGCTAATAAAAAAATATGAACATCAAGGCCGATATTTGGCTACTGTTGCTGAAAATGTGATTTGCTACTTCCCCAAACCTCTTGCTTTTATGAATGCCCATAAAATGTTCTTGTACATGTTATCAGTTTAGACAGCAATATAAATTATTGAGTTTGGAATAATATTGTTTTTTTGTTAATCAATTCTTGTTTTAGGAGATGCTTTCAGAGCAAGATTGAATGTAAAAGATGTAAAATCCAATCAGGATGGGAGCTCTTTCAGCACCTGGGACAGAGACAATGACAACTGTAACCCATGCATTATGGGTGATATCATCTTCAGGAGCTGTGCCCGGGATTATAGCTCAGGCTGGTGGTTTAATGGATGTGGATTAGCAAATCTGAATGGTCGCTGGCGTCCCGCAAAGAATAGTATTGGCTGGCTTTCCTCTGTGTCTTGGGAAACATATCGAAGCAACAAGTCTCTGAAGTTTAGTAAGATGTACATAAAAAACTATTAACGGGAACATTTTACTGAAGACGTGTCTTTAAGTGTTTGTTCATAGTGTTTGCATATTTTTGAAATGGTCTTGAATATATTTTACTCATTGTTTTGTAAATAATTGTGTGTTGTGTTGTTAAATAAAAATAAAATCCATCCCCAGTCTCGCTCTGTATCTTTTTGAAAGAAAAGTCTAAAAAGTAGATAGTTCATGTTTTCCTTTTAAATAATAGAAGTAAAACCAATGACCCAAGAAAACAAAAACATTAAAAAAACAGAAGCGAAAAAACAAAAACAACCAGATCATAAAATAAAAAATAAAGCAATAAAAGAATACAATGATCTAAAAGAATGAGGATAAAACGTAGTCAGTCGAGTAAATATGCTCCCCCTGACGTACTGAAACAGGTAAAAATCCTGTTAAAAAGTTATATAAATAAATAGGAAATTCTGGTAGAGTTCACGGCCAGAGTAATGTCACGTTATACTCACCTTTCTATAGGGAATGGGTAAAATCTCTGGTTTATTCACTAAACTCTGATTTGTAACAAACTGATGTATAAATGGCAAAATTCTAGCGAGAAATGCTGGATAAATTCACTAACTTGGCTATCGTCAAAGATTGGCTATTTTACCTTAAATTGTACCATTCTGGTTTTTATTCACCGCAGTTTGGTGTTTAGCAAATAAATGCCTTTTTCAGCAATGACCATTCGTTTGTTTTAGGTAGCGTTTCAGTTCTATTATCACGCTGAGCTTGTCTGGTATGTCAGTAACTACAATGATACACATTAAGGAACATCACACACAAAAATACAGCTTTAAACGTTACAAGGCTACTTAAAATCACCTCTACCAGCAAACAAATATGTGGATTCAGTTCCACCATGTGACCATATTGTGTTAAGCCACCACTATGTCACAGTCCCCCAACATCGGTGGATCTTACACTATTTTTAACATGGGAGACAAACAACAACTTAAACAGTGCTAGTAACTAAATATAACAAACTCAAGTGCATTTAATTAATCTGTTTTAAGAGCATGTGAATAAATATCATGCGAAATCAGCAGTGGGGCTGCCTTAAAGACAAAACCTTATACAAAATATGGATTAAAGGGACACTCGCTATAGACGCCAAAACAACTTTAGCTTAATGAAACTGTTTGGGTGTATAGATCATGTCCCTGCAGTTTCACTGATCAATTCTCTATCATTTAAGAGTTACATCACTATTGGTTCTGTTCATGCAGCCCTCTTCACACCTCTCCTGGCTGGGACTCACATAGCCTGCATGAAAACAGAATGGTTTCATTTACAATAATATATCAGCTTGCATTAGAATTTATTTATCTCCTGCTCTATAAATTTTACTTTAATCATACACAGAAGGCTTTTGCATGGTCTCGGAGACTATTAATAGAACAGAAGACAAGAATTTCTAAATTAAAAAGACTGTGCAATAAAGGAAGTTTAAACATTAGATCTCTCTTTACAGGAAGTGTTTAAGAAGGCTGTGCAAGTCACATGCAGAGAGTTGTGATTAGGGCTGTAAGTTGTATTGGTGCCTCTATTGTCCCTTTGAGGAATAACGAACACACAAACATTTTAAAGTTTGAAATTTTAGTATATATTCACAATGCTCTTACAACAGTTGTTGCCAAAAGTCTACAAGAAATTGAAAAAACCTCCAGGATGACCGTTCGTCTCAAGAAGGGGATGTTTAACTGAGAACTGTAGTGTCTTTGTGGATGATAGTCTGCATTTCCCAGTGCTGAAGTCCCCATTGCACATTCAGGACACCCAATTTGCCACAGAAATGTTGTCAAATCTTAAATGTACAAAGACATTGCCCTTAGCCAGCCTGGACATTGTGCCCCTTTATACCAGCATTCCGTATGGGGCTGGACTTGAAATCTGTAGATGTCTGTTGCTCCACTCTAACTTATATTCCAACGAGTTGTGCCTTTTTGTTGTGAAACTATTGGAATGTATGTTTCTATTCAACAGCAGAGTATTTACAAAAACAGGGGAATGCCATGGGTACTTGATTTGCTCTCAACTATGCCAACTTGATATTGGCATGGTGCGAACAGTACCATATATACAATCTGTCCATATTTCACACATCGGGCGCTTGGTATCGATACATAAATGACATAATCAGTCTGTGGCAGGACGATGAGCCTTCTTTCCACAACTGGGTGACTGTCCTGAATGACAATTTTTTTTGTGATTAAATCTTGTGAATTCCTTGATCTTACCATTTCTATTAATGACAATGTGAAAACCAAGCTATTCAGAATACAAATATCATCGAACAGTTTTTTTTTTAAAACAGGAACAGTTTTCTTTTACTGAAATGGGTAATACCTTATGGACAGTACTTGAGAGTTTGGAGAAATTGCTCTAAAGATGAAGATTTTATCAAGGAAGCTGGCATCTTGAGATCCCATTTCCTAGTTAAAGGTCATCCAAAGTGCCTCCTAAAAAGAGTATTTAATTGAGCCAACAGTGGAGAGGCTAACTATCAACAGAAATGTCTGACAGAGGACAGCTAATCATTTGCTTTATCATTAAGTCTGACACGGGGGGAAACCTGTGAAGAACATTCTTGCCAAAAACTGGCCTATACTGGCATGTGACGATATAACCAAGAAAGCTATCACAGAATATCCGTCCATGACAGTTAAATGTGCCCCTAATCTACAGGATTTATTAGTCCACACCAACCTATGACTTGGCTACAACCCACCACTGGGGTCTTTCCCTGCAGCCACTGCAAAACCTGCAATTGAATAAACCCACCAAGGAAGAAATTGGATGTCATAAAAAAGGAAGTCAATTTGTTAAGTGGTCTTTCACCAACTTTATGTACCTTGAAAACTGCTCTTGAGGTGTACAATAAATTGGCAAGACCCTCCAGCAATCTTCCGCAGGAGGATCCTTCAACATGGCAATTTAATTAATACGCACCTGGACACACCAATTTTATGAGATATTCATAATTCTCACAATGGTGAAGTCTCCGACCTGTCATTTCAAGTTAATCAAAGAATCAAACTTTACCCCGATATAAGCCTTAAATTATTATAAAATCATTCAGGATGGATTTATGAATTTGAGACATTGGCCGCCTCTGGGCTAAATGAAGAATGTAATTACACCATAATTAATTAATTGAATTACAATATGCTGGATCATAAAATTCTGGTCATTATTTAGCTCTATCAATTTATTTGATGTTCACAAATAAGTCTCATAATTCATGTGTTATTTTTCCATTATTTATATTTATTCTCATTATTATATATATTTTTAATAGTTATTATTATTTTGTTATGTTTGATTTTCTTGACTATTTTTTTTTTTCACAATTTTTTTCCTTGGTTTTTCACTGGCAGTTTTTTCTCATAAAATTATGATCAACCATTTTGCTGATTTTTTTATGGTATTTTCACATCTCATTTCTCCCCCTTATTTACGATGAATAAGTTCCCTTATTTTAATGTACTGTTATGGATTTATCATTAGCCTGAAGCATACAGTTATGCTTTGGAGACAGATTTTATGTGGCACATACATGGTTCTCTGGGGAGGGAAAAGTTACTCTGTTTTGTAGCTCAATTACACTAAGGAACAGCCGGTCTGCTCTCACCCACTAGAGAGGTCTGTCTGCCCTTGACTTACCATATTATTTTACCAACATTACTTGTGCCCTTAACTTACCTTACCATTTTACCAGCATTACTTGTGCTAAGAATTACTTTGGAAGCTCTCAGTATCCAATGTGCAGTATTTCTAGAAGAATAGTGACCCCTGGTGGTTGAATTTTTACAACTGCATGCACCACATCAGACCTATTGTCTCCTCCCCGGCCCTTTGACCAGGGCCAGATTAAGAGCCACGTGGGCCTGGTGCTGACAATTATGACGGGCCTAATTACAGAATCATATCGACCAAAAACAGTAAAACACTCCCAAGCATCATGTATGTGATGGAGATGGTGCTGGAGAGAAAGAAAACAGCAGCTATAAGAAAAGGCTAATCTCTCTCTAATTTATGTTTTCATCTTTCAAGTAAATCCATAACCCCTAACAGCAGTGTCCAGTCAGGCAGGAAGTCAATGGGCATGGTAAAAGGGGGTGCCACTGACACAAATCACGTAACCTGCGAAAAGGGGCGAACATGCCCAAAAAGAGGACATGTCTGCTCAAAGAATTAGGCCAGCCTGGCATGAATGCATGTCAGGCTGCCTGCCAATCATGCAGCTGGCCAACTAAGGGCATACTATGCAGACAGCACCCTGAGCTTGGCATAAATGCATCTAATTATGCGCTCACTCAATGCTTTCTAAGGACTGTCCCCTAGCACTCGCTGGTCCACTTGTCTCCTTACCTTCTTACTAGCAGGCAGAAGCTCCTGGTATATAGTCTGGGACAGAGAAAAGCTGTATGTAGTGAGTGTAGAAGAAAGGGAACATGCCACAGTGTTAGAGAGACCAAAGTCAGCATTACCTTAAAGGATCACTATAGGGTCCGGAACACAAACATGAATTCATGACCCTACACCACCATCTAGCCCCCCTGGGCCCCTCATGCCTCCATAAATATAACAAAATCTTACTATATTCAAGCCCGAAGCTGTAACTCTGCATGCTGTTAGACTCATAAAAACAAGCAGTCTGCTGACATCATTAGAAGTGGTGGCCTGATCCAATCACAGTGCTTCCCCATAGGATTGGCTGAGACTGACAAAGAGGCAGATCAGGGTCAGAGCCAGCATGATTCAAACACAGCCCTGGCCAATCAGCATCTCCTTATATAGATGAATTTAATTAATTAATCTCTATGAGGAAAGTTCAGTGTCTGCATGCAGAGGGAGGAGACACTGAATGTTTGGATGCATTTTAGGCAGCCATGACCCAGGAAGGATCTCTAACAGTCATCTAAGGAGTGGCCAGTGAAGTTATCACTAGGATGTAATGTAAAGACTGAATTTTCTCTGAAAAGACAATGTTTACAGCAAAAAGCCTGACGGTAATGATTCTACTCACCAAAACAAATTCAATAAGCTGTAGTTGTTCTGGTGACTATAGTGTCCCTTTAACTATATTCATTGTCAGCCAGTCCACACAAGTTTTGTTCCCATACATCCCACCTTTCCATACTTAACTAAGAGTATGTGAAAAGTAGTTAGGGTTGCCACCTTTCTTGGAAAAAAAAGGAGTGACATAAGAGAAAATGCTGTAAAATCACCCAAACAACTATTAGTTTGATTCTGCTGTATAGATGGATTCCTCCCAGTGCCCCCATGTCTCCCAGTGCCCCCATGTGTCCCTATGTATCAGTGTCTCAGTGCCCCATGTCTCCCAGTGTCCCCTAGTGTCGTGTCCCCAGGTCTCCCAGTGATCCTATGTATCACAGTGTCTCAATGCCCCATGTCTCCCTGTGTCCCCATGTATCCCAGGGTCCCAATGTCACTAGGACACTAGGAAGACTGGGAGACCTGGGGACATGGGGAGACCTAGGGACACGGAGACACAAGTGACACTGGGAGACTAGGGGACTCTGGCTGGGACACATGGGGACAATGGGAAAATAGGGGACACGTGAAGACATGGGGACACAGACACCAGGGACACAGACACTAGAGACACTGGCTGGGGGACATTGAGACATGGGGACACTGAGACACCAGGGCCACAGACACTAGGGACACTAGCTTGGAGACATGGGGACATTGTGACACTTTAGGCAATGAGAGACATGGAGGCACTAGGAGACATTGAGACACTGGCAGACTGGGAGACTAGGGGTCACTGGGAGACAAGGGGGCACTGAGACACCAGGGATACTGGCTGGGAGACATGGGGACACTGTGTCCCCATGCGTCTGTGTCATAATATCTCCCAATGCCCCTTAGTGTCTCAGTGTCTGCCATAATATCTCCCAGTGCCCCTTAGTGTCTCGGTGTCTGCCATAATGTCTCCCAGTGCCCCTTAGTGTCCCAGTGTCTGCCATAATGTCTCCCAATGTCCCTTAGTGTCTCAGTGTCTGCCATAATGTCTCCCAATGTCCCTTAGTGTCTCAGTGTCTGCCATAATGTCTCCCAATGTCCCTTAGTGTCTCAGTGTCTGCCATAATGTCTCTCAATGCCCCTTAGTGTCTCAGTGTCTGCCATAATGTCTCCCAGTGTCCCTTAGTGTCTCAATGTCTGCCATAATGTCTCCCAGTGCCCCTTAGTGTCACAGTGTCTGCCATGTCTCCCAATGTCCCTTAGTGTCTCAGTGTCTGCCATAATGTCTCCTAGTGTCCCTTAGTGTCTCAGTGTCTGCCATAATGTCTCCCAGTGTCCCTTAGTGTCTCAGTGTCTGCCATAATGTCTCCCAATGTCCCTTAGTGTCTCAGTGTCTGCCATAATGTCTCCCAATGTCCCTTAGTGTCTCAGTGTCTGCCATAATATCTCCCAGTGCCCCTTAGTGTCTCAGTGTCTGCCATAATGTCTCCCAATGTCCCTTAGTGTCTCAGTGTCTGCCATAATGTCTCCCAGTGTCCCTCAGTGTCTCAGTGTCTGCCATAATGTCTCCCAGTGTCCCTTAGTGTCTCAGTGTCTGCCATAATGTCTCCCAGTGTCCCTTAGTGTCTCAGTGTCTGCCATAATGTCTCCCAATGTCCCTTAGTGTCTCAGTATCTGCCATAATGTCTCCCAATGTCCCTTAGTGTCTCAGTGTCTGCCATGTCTCCCAATGTCCCTTAGTGTCCCAGTGTCTGCCATAATATCTCCCAATGTCCCTTAGTGTCTCAGTGTCTGCCATAATGTCTCCCAGTGTCCCTTAGTGTCTCAGTGTCTGCCATAATGTCTCCCAGTGTCCCTTAGTGTCTCAGTGTCTGCCATAATGTCTCCCAATGTCCCTTAGTGTCTCAGTGTATGTCTCCTTGCAGCCTTTCCCCATCCCTTACTTCCCTGAGCTGTAGGCTGTCTCTGCAGGGTGGGAGTTGCTGTCTGGACTCTCTGTAGCTGCACCCCTGCAGATCAGTGAGTATAGATAGGCAGGGAGGGATATGCTGGAACTTCCTATCCCTGCCTGTCTCCACACACAGCGACCCCTACTGGCCAGTGTTGGTATTGCATAGTAATCTCTTGTTTATACTGAGAAAAATACCAGCATTTGTATTGCCAGTATCACTGCAATATTGGCACCAGCCAGGCAGCCTCAAATACTGGCTGTGCCAATAAAATAAAAGCCAGGTGGAATCCCTAACAGTAGTGTGTAAAAAAAAAAAAAAAAGTAAAAAATAATAATATTTTTTTTTTAAATCAATGGGCCTATTCCATGGGCCTGGGCCTGGAGCTGCAGCTCCATCAGCCCCTATGTTAATCCGGCCCTGCCTTTGACCATAGGCTCCGGTGGGGCCTTAGTATTTATAATAAAGTAGAGTAGCTATTATCTATAAAATAGAACGGACCTATAATGATTTATGCAGGTTTTAGATTTTTTGTCCCCTTGTGGGGTGGGTATGTAGAATCTTTTTCTTATGGGCTGTGTAGATGATTGGGGATCTCTAGCCACTGGTTAAAGGAAGACTTACTATTATTTGGGGGGTGAACAATAACATATCCACCCCCTTAATTTTATAATTCATTATGTCCCCCACTCGCCGGCATGGGTGGGGCTGGGGGAAGGGACGATAGGTTACCCTGTTGTTTCTAATATTAGAGTCCCTCCCTGCCAGCATGGGTGGGCCTGTGGGAATTGACAATATGTTCCCCCCCTATTTTATAAGTATTAAACCAGCATGGTTGGGTGTTCAAGGCAGGGGACAATTGCCCCCCATTTTATAAATATTAGGGCACTCTTCCCACTGGTATTTTTAGGAGCCAAGGCAGGGGACAATTGCCCCCCATTTTATAAATATTAGGGCACTCTTCCCACTGGTATTTTTAGGAGCCAAGGCAGGGGAAACTTGCTACCTAATTATAAGTATGGTTGGGGGCCTGGGGAGCAAGCACTGGCCAACTGCAACATAATAACCCTGGCACATCCATAGGTTTTTAACTATTTGCCTAGGGCATAAAGCAGGTGAATCATAATTTGCAAAGGTTCATCCTACCAGTCGCCATCTGAGAATTGCCAATGATGGTCAATTCGGTCGTTTAGTGAATCCAGTGTTTAGTGAATGACCCGGTTAATCTCGAGGTTTTCAAAAATGCTCGGACTAATTTTTATTAATATTGTTTTATTTAGAAAAAAATCATTAATAAAAGTATTACAAGTCATAAAAGCACCCTGTCTTCCAGAAATGTCACATGACTCTTGGTTTTCCTCATTTACATGATAATGGTCCTAGCTGGTCTAACAAGTTTCAATGCCATTGACATTTCTGAATCCAGACATCATCAAACAGATGGTCATATTGATTTAAGTATCCAGAACTTCAAACTCAAACCATATATACTGTACAATCTGTCCATATTTCACACATCAGGTGCTTGGTATCGATACATAAATGACATAATCAGTCTGTGGCAGGACGATGAGACTTCTTTCCATAACTGGGTGACTGTCCTGAATGACAATTTTTTTTTGTGATTAAATCTTGTGAATTCCTTGATCTTTCCATTTCTATTGATGACAATGTGAAAACCAAGCTATTCAGAATACAAATATCATCGAACAGTTTTTTGTAAAACAGGGACAGTTTTCGTTTACTGAAACGGGTAATACCTTATGGACAGTACTTGAGAGCTTGGAGATATTTGCTCTAAAGATGAAGATTTCATCAAGGAAGCTGCCATCTTGAGATCCCATTGCCTAGTAAAAGATTATCCAAAATGCCTACTAAAAAAGAATATTTAATTGAGCCAACAGTGGAGAGGCTAACTATCAACAGAAATGTCTGACAGAGGACAGCTAATCATTTGCTTTATCTTGGTATCCAGAACTTCAAACACAAACTTCGAGAACACATTCCAGTTTGTACTTCTCTTTGTTCCTCTTCTTCCAGATTGTATTTTAAAGCAAACTGTTCCCTTCCAGCATTGAGTCTCAGGTATGGTGTCTGCACAAACACTGCACTCCCTGTGTTGTCATGTAAATGGGAGAGATACCTGCTAGCTCACAGGTTCACCGTTAACCTTGGAATTGAAGTGGATTCATGCAGGAATTGCAATTTTTATGGTTAAAATAATGATATTCTCCAAATCAGCTATTTATTACCTGATATTAGCATTAACTCTATCAGCTCTCATCTGTGCATTTCTGTGCTTTTTTTATATTTTATATTATGTATAAAGTTATTTTATGTTATATCTGTCATATTATTAATATATATTTTTTAAATACATAGTTCACACAACTCAAATACAATATAATTATAAGAATATATATCAAGAAATATATAATCTAAGTAACATGTTACTTTAAGCACCATAATTGCTTGAGTGATTTGAAGTGGTCATGGTGTCTGGATTCCATATCTACAATAGTTTGCTATGAAATGTTGCACATAGAGAATTTAACCCCTCTGCTGCCAAAGGTGTAACTCCACCTCCGGCAGCGCAATTGAGACATCATCATAATGCCCAGAGCTAGAGTTGCAGACTGGCTAATATCAATTTTGTGCAACTTTCATTGGACAGAATTGCATTCATTGGCTGAGAGCGGTCAGCTGACATTCTCAGACAACGAATGCTTTTGAGGCTCTGCAGAATCCAGAATTGCATCACATGGCCACCAGGGTACATCGGAGCCTGGCAGAGACCCAGAAAAGGGGACAAAAAGTTTGCCCCATAACCAGAGAACCAGGCCAAGGTACCCCTGGCATCATAACCACTACTGTGGGCTTAAGCTGTCATCATGATTGGAGAATGCTCCAAACACCATAATCACTGCACCAAATGTAGTGGTCCAGAGTACTTGGTGCTGTCTACGGTATTATGTCACACTGTTTTAACATGGTTTGGCAACTTACCTGGGTCCTGCTGAGCAATTGAGCCACATGCGATTTTCCTTGGAAGGAGCAAAGTGAACTAAATGCAGGACTGTGTTCCCTGATGCTCTCAGCTAATGGACATAGTCCTGCATGATTCTGATATCTTCTTATGACCAATCTGGCCTTTCCTGCCCGAGAAGGTAGAATGCAGCGGATGTGCTTTTGGTGCCTGGCAGGTCAAACCTTCATCAGGGCTCTCCTGTCACCATAACCACTATATTGACGTGCAGTATTTATGCCGCTTAAAGTGTTTCTTTGAGTCTAAAGGGGGAAATGACTGAAAATGTACATAGCCACCTATGTTGTAAGAGAGCAAACATTGTTTTTTAGTTTTTTTTAACACATTGGGTGCAGAAAGCCCTGGATTTTTTTTTTTAAATTGATCACTGTTATTTGATCATCCAGAGGAATTACAATGTAATAGTGGCAATTTTTGGAGGGTTAGCTCCAGCATTGGAGCTCTATCCTTAATAGTTAGTACATTGTATCTTATTTGGATTATGCCCTAATTATCCACACAGTCTGCTTTTGTAACACGGCTGGGCATATTTTGCCCAACACCTGAAGCTATTTTTTTTTTCGCTGGAAAAATACCCTTAATATATTGAATAGGTTTATGAATTTCAAGCCTTGCATGCCTCCCTTCAATTAGAAAACCTGCAAACACAGTGAGGCTGCAACTACTTACAGGTAGGATATTCTAATATAACGCTACCAGAAATGGCATTACATTGAATTTAGCAGTACGAGTAGCTGATTAAATAAACTTTTTCTATCAGACGTAATTAAATTATCCTGTATAGTGCGTTGATTTCTGCAAAAAATTTATAAAATCTTGTATTTTCGTTTTGTAACCTGTAAACTGTCGGCTACTTCAAACTTGAAAAGTTAGTTTTTGTGGCTATTGTTTGCCTTATTAATGCAATTATATAGTTGAACCGGGTACCTGTTTGATCTTTGGATGAATGGATGAAATGCAATCTTCTGATTGGCTGTGCCGAGATTGGATTTGTTAGCTCGGGCTATTTAAGGGGAAGGAATAGTCAAGTGAGATTTATAGAGCCTTGATTCTTCTACTGTACTGACTGACAGGTAAGGAGCTACTCTGGGATCTCCCTGCTCATTGCTACTCTCTCTCTGTGTATTTTCTATATTATCTGATCTATCTTCTGCAAAGTATAGTTTGTTACAAAATGTTTGTCCAATATTCTGGAGCATTAGGCTTGTTCGTAAATACTACAAATGTACATTTTGTTTTGTTATACTCCCTCCAAGGAGGGTGCTTTGTCATGTAATACAAATGGTTGATACAAATCCAACTTGTATGATGTGCAGCTACATTAAAAAAATTGAAAAACACAAACCTGAATTGTATATTTCTCCCCATTGTAAATATTTTAGTCTACATTTTGCAGTTCATCACAGCACACAGTGTACAAACCCTTTAACACTGCCTTAATCTATTTTATTTTTTTATGTTTTTATTTTTCCCCAGATATATGAAAATGCCATCATTCAACCTGTTTGGATATTTCATCTTATTTGGTCTTTATTTTAACTGCTTTAGTGCACTAGTAAGTTCTCTTAATTGACGTTCATACTATGTAAATATATGTTAACGATTTATTATAATTAACATTAATATTGTGATGGAACATGGAGAAATTTATTTTATAATATCTGTGCATTAGTCAGTGCTGATTACTTTAATAATTACTATTTATTAAATTACTTTTTATTAAATGTATTATTTATTTATTTATTTGTAACATTTTTTTTCTTTCCAGCCTGTGACAGATGATCCAGTCTATTCAGGTAAGTTGTGTTTAAGTGTGCTGTTACTCAATGATTTCCACTCTCAGCAAACTGTCTGTAAATACCTAATATATGCAACGGATCTAACTTTAAACGCTAACCTTGTCTTTCAATTAAATAATGCTGATTGATTACATCAGATTTTATCACTGGATATCATTTTATTCCAAATCTGACAACTTTGAAAAAGTAGTGGGAGACAAAATGTTTTGAAAATTATTGTTTATTTTTATTTTTTTTTATTTTATTTTTATTCTTAACTTAACTGTAGCAAAGTTAAGTTAGTGACAAAGCAAGTGACAAAATTGAGGCAAACATTGCTCATTTAAAAATATTCTCCAACTCAGATATGGTAAAATAGCGAATTTAGCAACAATTTTGACATCCAGATTCCATTTGCTAAAATTCTCACACTTTGAGTGCTGGACTGGGGATAGTGATGAAAACAAAACAAGAAGTGAACCTGTGTAGATAAGGTGCTTAAGTGTATATTAGGTGTACAAGTGAATATGGGAGCTGCTGGGGAGGCTCTGTACTATGTGAGTGGACCAATTTTGGGATTATTCATATCACTTAATTTTCATATATACTACACTATATTTTGCTTGTTCTGTTCCCCTATAGGGAATTCACTATATATTGTTGTAAACCCTTAGGGGTAAGTGTTAATTTTATTTAGCGCTACACACTTCGCACTATAGCTGTATACCTGTTGGTTATATAGTGCACTATTTCTTTACCTATGGGCAGGGCCGGACTGGGAAAAAAATTAGGCCCGGGCATTTTTCAAACAGAGCGGCCCCCTAAGAAGGGGGCGGTGCCAGAGAGTGTGTGTTTTGTCATCACTAATGACAACACGCCCCCTCTCAAAGTGAGCATGTTGGTTCAATGCCCAGAGCCCTGCTGAAGAGCTCTGGCATTAGAAAAAGGCCCTGAATTTATTCTGCACAGCTCAAGCAAATTTAATAACATGCTTGCGCTGTGTTTGCTTTTAAATTGTCTCTGGTGTCTCCACAAGTGGGATACCAGAGGACAAATGGGCCAGGAAAGTGCATGGTGCATATGTTTGGAGCCTGCTTGTGGGATTGCATGTGTGTAGAGAGTGGTGTGGTATTGTATAAATAGGTCAATTTAATTTGTGTTTGTGGTGTAATATGTGTGGCTAGGGGCTGTAGAGAGTGTGTGTATGGGGGCATAGTTTTATAGGGGATGCAGCGAGTGTGTGCATACGGGCTGAAGTGTGTGTGTATAGGTGACATAGTGTGTGTAGGGGTTGCAGAGAGGGTGTGTTTAGAGAATGTTGTATGTGTTTGCTGACAAGGAATGTAGTGTGTGTGTGTAGGCGATCTACTGTGTAAAGGACCCAGTGTGTGTGTGTGTGTGTGTGTGTGTGTGTGTATAGAGGATAAAGAGTGCATATAGAGTAAGTGATCTAGTGTGTATCTGGAGCGTAATGTGTGTAGTGGTGCAGTGTGAGGGGTGCTGTAGTGTGTGTGTGTGTGTGTATGTGTATATATATATATATATATTTGGACTTATTGTATGTGTGAGGGGCGTAGTGTGTGAGGGTGTTTTTATCTGCTGTCACATTCTAGGTTTCTAATTTTCTTTGTCTGTTAACTCACTGAGGGTTATTTTATATATATATATATATGTGTGCTGTATATGTGTGGGAGTGTGCTGTGTGTGTCTGGGTGCTGTGTGTGTGTCTGGGTGCTGTGTGTGTCTGGGGGTGCAGTGTGTGTCTGGGGGTGCAGTGTGTGTCTGTAGGTGCAGTGTGTGTCTGGGTGCGCTGTGTGAGTCTGGGTGCGCTGTGTGTGTCTGGGTGCGCTGTGTGTGTCTGGGTGCGCTGTGTGTGTCTGGGGGTGCTGTGTGTGTCTGGGTGCAGTGTGTGTCTGGGTGCAGCGTATGTCTGGTGCAGTGTGTGTCTGTGGGTGCAGTGTGTGTCTGTGGGTGCAGTGTGTGTCTGGGTGCGCTGTGTGTGTCTGGGTGCGCTGTGTGTGTCTGGGTGCGCTGTGTGTGTCTGGGTGCGCTGTGTGTGTCTGGGGGCTGTGTCGGGGGTGCTGTGTGTGTCTGGGGGTGCTGTGTGTGTCTGGGGGCTGTGTGTCTGGGGGTGCTGTGTGTGTCTGGGGGGGTGCTGTGTCTGGGGGCTGTGTGTTTGTGAGTGAATGTATTTTTTTATTTAAATTTAAATATTTTTTTTTTACTAATAAAAAAATAAATAATAATAATAATATTTCCCCCCCTCCCTTCTTCTCTACCTTTATCCTGGGAGGGGGGAGGAGATCCGTTCTGCCATCCATCCCTGGTGGCCCAGTGGTGAGAGTGAACTCTAACCTGCAGGTTAGAGTTCACTCTCGCGAGATCTGAGCGTTGCCGCGGCAACGGTAACCGCGGCAACGCTCAGAATCCCGCGAGAGGACCCGGCGGAGCTGCTTGTTAGAGCTCCGCCGGGTCCTCTCTCCTCCCTCCCTCCCTCACCCAGCCGGCGGCCGCATCTCCCTGTCTGTGGGCCGGTGAGGGAGATCTGTGATCTCCCCACCGGCCCATGGAGGCACACAGCGGGGCCGGCGCTCGGGTAGCGCTGGCCCTGCAGGGGCCGGCCGGGGAGATCCCCTGCCGGCCTCGGCCCCACGGCCATCGCGGCCCACCGGGCATTTGCCCGGTGTGCCCGATGGCCAGTCCGGGCCTGCCTATGGGGATAGTGATGAGCTGGTTCAATACTCCATGGAAGCGCCTGCCCATACACAGGATAACAGGCAGCCTCCAGAGTAGCCAATCAGGACAGCCCGTTCACTGAGCACTGCTTAAAGGACAACTGTCCTTTCTCAGAATCTACTCACCTATAGTAACAGCGTGGTTATTTTATTTTACAATTTGCAATTTCAATTTTCAATTCACAACAATTGAACATTTAATGAATAAACCCGTTAATGTGTTTTATTTGTTTGAATTTCCATTTTAATTATTTTTATTATTATTTGCCATTTCAGGATATGACTGCTCAGATATTTGGCTTAGAAACCAAAGCTCTGTCAGTGGCGTTTACAGAATTAAACCTATTGGAGCCAAAAATTTGTTCGAGGTAGGAAATGTTACCACAACTTGCTGCAAAATGTTGGTTAACGGAGTCAAAGGGCTGTTTAAAATCGGCTTTTGCTTGGTGTTGATTGATTTATTATACCGGCCTGATATTCGTGTTTAAATAAAAATTTACACAAATTACAATTTAGTGAAGCGCACCGCAGGTAATTTTCTACATTCTACCTTTTTTTTATTCTCTAAAACCAGCTATTGACCTGTAGATTTGTCCATTCAGTTTCAAACGAATTGTGATTCATCTGAATTCTGGGCGATCGTTGAGTTCTCCTGAACTGTAAATTCAAATCGCCATATGACCAAATCACAAACCAAGGAATGAACTAGCTGTTTCGCTTGTTTTGTGATTCAGAGTTTTGTCTGGGTATAAAAAGCGAATGTTATTTTTTTTTTTTACACGCACAACTTTATAGAAGAGAGAACTTAATATTTTTGGACAATATTGGCAAACTGTACATATTTTACAACCAAGTTTTTTGCCAACTCAGCAATTTATCCTATATTTTGCATTTTCCTGGTTAGTATCTAACAATTAATGGCTTACTGAATAACCTTATTGGGTGTTCTCCCTCTGGCTAGCTACAGCTGTTGGCTACATGACTTTCTTTGATTTTCAGGTTTTCAGCAGAAAGGGTCGGTTAAGAGATAAAGCAGTGATACTTAGCTACTAAACTGTGACTTTCTCTAAATTGCCTATTGAATTACAAAGTGTAGACTTAAATGGTTTACGTTTTGAGCCAGTTAAGTAAATATATTGAAACTGAGACATTTTCAAGTCAATTTTTCAAAGTTTACTGTTTACTAAATAAACCTCATTATGGAACTTGAAAAAGTACACAATGTGTACAAAAGTCATTTTATCTTCAAGAACAAAAATGTAATTTATTTTTAAAGTTTAGTGGTCATTTACCAGAGCCATAAAAGTATATGATTAAATATTGGTTAATTATTATATTGTGAAATACTACCTGATGGTAACTAAATGTTCCTGTTTGACCTGCAGGCTTTCTGTAAAATGAAGGAGGACGGTGGCTTGACTCTAATCCAAAGCCACAATGGAAATGATCAGTTGCCCTTCAACACATATTGGGATGACTACAAAGAGGGATTTGGAACTCTAACTGGTAATTGCTGACAATTCTATTTTATGACCTTCAATAGCAAACCTGTTCATACAATGATGACAGAATCTGCAGCCCATCCTGTATACATGGGGGTGTGCTCTGAATTAAAGACCTTCAATTACATTTCCCACTGATCCTGTGCAGGTCCTCGACTGACAGAGAAACAAACTGTTACCCTTGTAGTACAGTAACTCCTTTTGCCTCGGCCACAGACACTGTGTAGGATATTGGGCCCTTAATAGCAGAAGGTGATGCTGTTGGAAAAAGAAGGAAAAGCTCGAGAGTGGGGTTGGGACTCTACAGCACTCCAGGTGTTGTGAACTACATCTCCCATAATGCCCTTACAGCCATAATGCTGGCCAATTAAAATGTGAGATTCCACAACATCTGGAATGCGGAAGTTTGCCTTGAAAAGAATACTCACTAAACCAGGAAGTGAATCAGCCAGTTACGATGCTCAGTTTTTCAAGCACTGCTTAGCTGATCCCATAGGCAGTACTTTAAATCCACAGGGGTTTCTGGGAGTTGTAGTTAAATTGTTAAAACAAGGAGGGATGGTGAGAAAGTGTGAGATTGTAGAAGAATTTCTAAAGTTACTATTTTAAGAAAAACTAGTGAAGATTAATAAAATAATCCATTCAGCATAACTAACTGTATCCTACCCAGCACATTACCCCAAACCAAATGTATTTGTCTGCCTGCCGAGCCCCTTTAAATATATAGAGACAATTCCCTGTGTAGGTACTGGGCTATTCTATGACGGAATGTGTGTGATCTCAATGTCATTTCTTGTTGAAGGGGAACATTGGCTGGGACTTGAGAAGATGTATCTGCTGACCCATCAGGGTTCCAGAGCTGCAGACCTGCTTATCAGCCTGGGAGACTTTGATAAATCAGAGGCTTTTGCGCTATACAGTCCTTTTACCATCGGCTCCGAGGACGTGCAGTACAGGATATCGCTGGGAAACTATTCCGGGAATGCAGGTACGGGGTCTGAAGATATCTGTAATGCCTTCTATGTTAACACTGTCAGACGTATTCACTAAAGGGTCAATGCAAAGGGAATTTCAAATTAAGGACAAAAAAACTCGAAAAATCTTTTCTGAGCCAGCTGTGCTTTGAGTTTGGCTCCTTCGGCCTTACTTTTGAAATTTGCTTTCAATTTTCACTTTAGTAAATAACCTTATATATTTTTTTTTTTTTTAAGCAATATGTTTTATGAACATTGCACTGAACATAACATATTACTGTCACGGCCCCCCGGCTCGCCGCCATGTGCGTCCGTGCCCGACCGGCACCACCGCACCAACTCACTGAGCTTACCTGCTCAGTGGCGAGCCGGGAACCGCTCCTCCACGCCGCTCCAGGAAATCCAAGATGGCGCCAACCATGCGGTCGCATTCATCAATGGCTCCACCCCCCAAAATTATACGAACGTGCGCGTGACGTCACAACGTCACCGCACGCACACATTCTGGGGTCAGAGGTCACCCTCTGACTAATCAGAGCCTAGAGAGGGATATTTAAATCCCTAATTCACCCCAGTACCTTGCTGTGTTGTGGTTTCCTGTTCCTGGTTTCCTGAGAGTGCGTTTTCCCTGTGATATTGATATTCTGGTATTCTGATCTTGGCTATTCCTGGTTATTCCGATTTCGGGTTCCCCTGACTTGGCTTGTTTAAACGGTATTGTGTATTTCCGGCTTCCTTGACCTCGACTTTCCCTTTGACCATTCTCTGTCTCTAACGTATTAGTCCGGCCATTCTAAGGTCCGGTTTACGTTCTGACCTTTTTTTTCCTTTCTTATTTCTATGTATAGGTTTCTACATGTTGGACCACACTAGCTGTCGTGACAATTACCTGTTGTATCTCATATTCCATGGCTAGCTAGAATCAGGGGAGGGCTGGCAATTTTTGGCACAGTGGTGTTTCCAAAACTGCTGCAGCCCAAAAACAATACTCACTGCCTTCCTTCTTAGTTGATCCTAATATAGTGACTGTTCTATGAAACCTTGGAGAATTAGCAATGATCAAATAATAATACTGATAATAATATTTATAAGCAAGTCCACTATTCTCTTATGGTTTTTCAAAGACATAAAATCAATTATTATACTGAGCTTTTCTAGATAAATCACAGAGTGGAGTAAAATGTACATTTTTTGTTTTCCTTTGATATACAGATACCTCTAGAAATAAATGCAAATATCTGATGCCTGAATATAAAAACATTCTACCTAGAATGTTCGGCATCAATATAAAGAATGTGTACAGAATATGTTTTACTCCAGCTTCAAGCCTCTTCACAACCAATAAAGCTATATAGTGATATAGTGAAAATACTTCCAGTTCTGTTTAGAAATATGCTAGCCCATCCAAACTGAGACCCCCAACTATCTTTGAAACGACAACAGAATTCTGAGCATAGTCCACTGACTATAAAGTACAACATGATCCGTAATCTAGTGTGATTTGTCCAAAGATCCAGCTATTGTGGGCGATATAACATGCACACTGCATTAGAGAACGCATTTTACTTTTATTATGTTGTTACCTCAATTTAATATTTTTTTTGGATGAGATTTTGAATTATTTAATATTTTTAAATAAACTTTTAAAATTATTTAAAAAAATATTAAACTATCAAAAAAATATATCATGTATAGAAAATACAACTGTATATATTAAAAATAAATCAAAATAGTTCAAAATATTTTTCAAAATATGAAATGATTTTGAAAAGCTAATCCACAAATATTTAATCAAGGTTTATATTTCTCTAGCAGGACTCCGCTGGAATGTCATTTGATACTTTTATCATTTTAAGTAATTGTTCCTTTTAGATTTTGTCAGTTTAGATAGCAGTATACATTATTTTGTGTTTTGGAATTATATATTTTTTTTTGTTAATCAATTCTTGTTTTAGGAGATGCATTCAGAGCAAGATTGGATGTAAACGATGTAAGATCCAATCAGGATGGGAGCTCTTTCAGCACCCGGGACAGAGACAATGACAACTGTAACCCATGCGTTATGGATGATATAGCCATCAGGAGCTGTGCCCGGGATTATAGCTCAGGCTGGTGGTTTAATGGATGTGGATTAGCAAATCTGAATGGTCGCTGGCGTCCGGCACAGAATAGTATAGGCTGGCATTCCTCGGTGTCTTGGGAAACATGGAGAGAGAACGAGTCTCTGATGTTTAGTAAGATGTACATAAAAAACTATTAATGGGAACATTTTACTGAAGACGTGTCTTTACGTGTTTGTTCGTCGTGTTCGTATTTTTTTTTAAATGGTCTTGAATATATTTTACTCCTGTTGTGTAAATAATTGTGTGTTGTGTTAAAATAAAAATCCATCCCCAGTCTCGCTCTGTATCTATTTGAAAGAAAAGGCTAACAAGCAGATAATTCATGTTTTCCTTTTAAATAATAGAAGTAAAACCAATGACGTAAGAAAAAAAAGAAACATTTTCTTTTAAAAAAGCAAAAATTACCAGATTAGAAGATCAGAAATAAAGGGAAGAAAAAAGAGATGATGATCTAAAAGTATGATGATAAAACAGTCACTGGAAAAAATATGCTCCCCCAATATGTACTGAAATATGTAAAGGTGACATAGTTACATAGTCTGAAAAGAGACTTGCGTCCCTCGAGTTCAGCCTCTCACATATGTTTTTGCTGTTGATCCAAAAGAAAATTCCGAGTTCAGAGAAGGGCTACTAAACTGGTTCATGGATTGCGGGATAAAACTTACGAGTACCAGGAAAGGTTAAAGAAATTTAACATTTAAATACATAAAGGGAATCAACACAGTAAAGGAGGAGACTATATTTAAAAGAAGAAAAACTACCACAACAAGAGAATAGTCTTAAATTAGAGGGGCAAAGGTTTAAAAATAATATCAGGAAGTATTACTTTACTGAGAGGGTAGTGGATGCATGGAATAGCCTTCCAGCTGAAGTGGTAGAGGTTAACACAGTAAAGGAGTTTAAGCATGCGTGGGATAGGCAGAAGGCTATCATAACTATAAGATGAGGCTAGGGATTAATGAAAGTATTTTAAAAACTTGGGCAGACTAAATGGGCCAAATGGTTCTTAACTGCCGTCATATTTTATGTTTCTATCATATCCTACTAATACAAATGTCCTATCATTGCCTACTTGTTCAAATGGCACGCCATGATTGGGGTAATTTGGCAAATTTCAATGTGTAAAAACTAATATGGGCTAGCCCTATATTTGCTCCTGTAACTTTTCAAAACCATGAAACGTGGGAAACTTATATATGGGGGGCATTGTTGTACTAATGGGAAATAACAAGCAAATAAGTAGGGAGTTTTAGGCACACCATATGCCTACACTGTGTTTAAGGACTCTTTGCTCAACAGTACTGCATGTCCATCCGAAGATCTTACAGGTAATAAGGAGATGATCTTCAAGCGTTCACGTTCTACATGGCTTTCGAGCGTTCACGTTCTACATGGTCTTGGAGTATATGATCGTATAAAAGACTTGTGCAAAAGTGTATTTCAGACGGTTTGTTTTAATGGAATGAGGTTTAATTCACATGCAGATGAATCAATCATATAATTTACCTACTGAGTGTTATTGGTTGAATAAGTCCCTTCACAGGTAAATTCCGAACGATTGATTCACTTCATGTGCTACACGGTCTATGGAGGAGCCTGCAGACTGATCTGTAGGATCGTGCCTAAATGACTGTTATGTACTTTTGCGCATTCACAAGTGCACAGAGATGGCTCCTGGTGGCTTCTCCTTTTTGAAGTTGAATCGGGATCACCCCCACCGGCCTGGGGGGGGGTGTTTTGTGTCTGAGGATCCACTGATGAAAGGACAAGGAAAGCAGTGATCTCTCCTCAGTTCTGTCACCCGCAGCCAGACACCTCAAGCTTTTTGCTTACCAAAAGTTATTGAATGAGGTATCGGGAGAATCATCAGGGCACCCTGACTATGGGTAGGGCACCCCAACGTGTGCATGAGTTTGGCGTCAGCAACAATAGTCGATTAATCGGCTTATGCAGTGGGAGCCCAGTGAACATGCGTCTGTTCAGCTAGCTGTATGTCTGTTCAGACCCCTGTATATATATCTGTGAGATTATTGTGCAACATATTTATTGTTAAATAATAAACAAATAAACAAAATAACATTTTGTATAGATTTTTCTAATGAGAAAAAAAAAAATTACTGTTATCATTACAGCCTTTAAGTAATAACTATTAAATTAATAAACAAAGTCAGTTTGTACTGTAGATATAATTAAACCACCCATGTTGGTCCAAACTCTATGGATATTTGACCAACTGCTGCTCAACCTAACTTTCCTGCTGCCAGGGCCGGACTGGGACAAAAATTCAGCCCAAGCAATTCAAGGCAGAGCAGCCCACTAGGAGGGGTGTGGCCAGAAAGGGGACGTGTAATGTCACCACCATTAACACGCACCCCCCACCAAATAACTATTTGTGTTGTATGTGTAAAGGGGTCTATTTGTGGCGTACTACGTGTGGCTAGGGGCTGTAGTGTGTGTGTTTCTTGGTTGTAAAGTATGTGTGTATGTGCGTGTGTGTGTGTTTAGAGAGCCTGTGGAGAATGTAGGCCTAGGGGATGTAGTGTGTGCATGTAAGGCTGTACAGTGTGTTTCTGAGTGTATCTAGGGGCTCTAGTGTGTGTATGTATAAAGGGGCTGTAGAGCGCATGTGTATAGGTGCGGCAGTGTATGCATAGGTGGTGTAATGTGTACAGGGGGTGTAGAATGTGTATTTATAGGGGATATAAATTAGTGTGTGTGCATGCAGGGGGTGTAATATGTGTGTTTATATGGGTTTAAAGTATGTGAGTGCAGTTTACTGTGTGTATGTGAGTGCTCTGGGTATAGTGTATATATAAGGGGTAAATAGTGTGTGTAGTGTGTTTGTGTGAGTGCAGGGGGTCTACAGGGATAGAGAGTGTGTAGTATTTATGGAGAGGTATAGCATCTGTGCAGAGTCTTTGTGTGTAAGTGCAGGAGGTGTAGTGTGTATATAGGGGTATAGTGTGTGTGTAAGTGCAGGGGGTGCAGTGTGTGTAGTGTGTTTGTGTATAAGAATGCTTGTGTGTTAGTGCAGGGGGTGCAGTGTGTTTGTGTGCTAGTGCATGGGAGCAGTATGCTTGTGTGTTAGTGCAGTGTGTAGTGTGTGTTAGTGCAGGGGGTGCAGAGTATGTGTAGTGTGTTAGTGTAGGGGGTGCAGTGTGTGTTGTGTGTGTGTGTGTGTGTGTGTTAGTGCAGGGGGTAGTATGTGTGTGTGTTAGTGCAGGGGGTGCAGTGTGTGTATAGTGTGTTAGTGCAGGAGGTGCAGTGTGTTAGTGCAAGGGGTGCAGTGTGTGTAGTATGTGTGTGTTAGTGCAGGGGGTGCAGTGTGTGTAGTGCGTTTGTGTGTTAGTGCAGGGGGTGCAGTGTGTGTGTAGTGTGTTAGTGCAGGCAGGGGGTGCAGTGTGTGTAGTATGTTTGTGTGTAAGTGCAGGGGGTGCAGTGTGTGTAGTATGTTTGTGTGTTAGTGCAGGGGGTGTAGTATGTGTAGTATGTTTGTGTGTTAGTGCAGGGGGTGCAGTGTGTGTAGTATGTTTGTGTGTTAGTGCAGGGGGTGCAGTGTGTAGTATGTTTGTGTGTGTATGTGATAGGTGTGTATATAGATATGGCCTTAAATTAATTATTTATTTCGTTTTTTTAAAAAGTAAAAAAATTTTTTTATAACTTTTTAGGTTGGATATGGACTCAAATTAATAATTTAATAATTAAAAAAACAACAACATTTACTCCTTATTATAACTGTGCAGGGGGGGAGAGGAAACATGCAGGTACCTGGTGGTCCATTGAGGGGCCACGCCACACACCGATCCCTAGTGGTCCAGCCGACAGGTAATTTCAGTCTGTACCCTGCAGGGTACAGACCATCTCTCTCTGTCTCTTTCTCTCTCGCGAGCACCATTTTTTCAGAGCATTGCCGCGGGTTACCATGGCAATGCTCTGATAATCTCGGAGCTCGTGAGAGGGTGAGAAGGCAGCTGCTCAGCATGAACGGAGGGTGACCGGTTCACTGCCCGGTCTCCCCTCCAGCCATGATAGAACAGAACTCCATCTTTGGGCCAGTGCTGCCCTGCATGGGCCGGCAGGGGAGATCTTTTGATCTTTCCTGCCGGCCTCGGCCCATGGCCATCGCGGCCCACCGGGCATTTGCCTGGTTTGCCCGATGGCCAGTACGGGCCTGCCTGCTGCGGTGATTCCCCTGTGTGATCTGTGTCAAACTGCAAGAGAGGCAAGTTAGATTGAGAAGCAGTTGGTCATATAACCATAGTGTTTGACCCAACATGGCTGCTCAGTTATATAGAAAAGTGAATTTAAAAAACAAACAAAAAAAACAATATAGATAATTTTTTAAAATGTCATCTAGTTTCATTAAATGTAATTAACTTTTAAAAATTGAGAAATTCTAATTTGATGACAGTTGTCCTTTAAGCAGTGCTCAGTGAATGGGCTGTCCTGATTGGTTATCCTGGAGACCGCCTGTTATCCTGTGTTCTATAGTAAACAACTTTTCACTATCCTCACTCCCGCACTCAAAGTGTGAGAATTAAAGCAAATGGAATCAGAATGTCAAAATCGATACTAAAAGAGCTAAACTGTGAAGATAGCAGTTGGAGAGTTGGAGAATTTTTTTAAATCAACTATTTTTGCCTCAGTTTTGCCATTCAGATTTTCATTTGCAACAGTTCAGATTTGTAAAAAAAAAAAAAAAATTAATAATTAAAAAAAATATATATATTTTTAAACATTTTGTTTCCTACTACTTTTTTTTTTTAAGTTGTCAGATTTGGAATAAAAAGATATCAAGTGGTAAAATCAGAAGTAATCAAAAAGTATTATTCAATCGAAATACAAGGTTAGCATTTAGAGTTAAATCCGTTGCATATATTAGGTATTTACAGACAGTAAGGATTGCTGAGAGAGGAAAGCATTGAATAACGGCACAATAAACTTCTCAATGTGCCATCATAATATTAACATTAATTATAATAAATCGTTAACATATATTTACATAGTATGAACGTCAATTAAGAGAACTTACTAGTGCACTAAAGCTGTTAAAATAAAGGCCAAATAAGATTAAATATCCAAACAGGTTGAATGTGGCATTTTCATATACCTGGGGAAAAATAAAAGCATAAAAAATAAAATAGATTAAGGCAATGTTAAAGGGTTTGTACACTGTGAGCTGGGATGAACTGCAAAATATAGACTCAAATATAATGTACAATACAGGTTTGTTTTTTTTAGTTTCATTAATTTGGCTTCACGTCCAACAAACTGGATTTCTTTTAACTAAAAATATAAGGAATACACCATGAGATAATCACAGCAGAAACTTGATGTCGTGCAGCACTGACCCAGGAAGCACATCTAGTGGCGGCTTGAAGAGTGGCAACTAGATGTGTTCCTAGCCTGCAATGTAAACACTGCTTTTGCTCTGAAAAAGTCTACATGGACTGACTATACTTACCAGAACAACTACATTAAGCTGTATAGCGTACCTTTAAATTATCCTGTATAAGTGCATTGGAGTCCAGGTGATAAATAAAGATGAATATTTCTGCAAGAAATTGATACAATCTTTTATTTTCATTTTGTAACCTGTAATCTTCCGGCTACTTTCAACTTGAAAAGTTACTTTTGTGACTACTGTTTGCTTTATTAATGCAATGATATTGTTAAACCTAGCATCTGTTTGATCTGTGGATGAATGGATGAAATGCAATCTTCTGATTGGCTGTGCCGAGATTGGATTTGTTAGCTCGGGCTATTTAAGGGGAGGGAATAGTCAACTGAGATTTATAGAGCCTTGATTCTTCTACTGTACTGACTGACAGGTAAGGAGCTACTCTGGGATCTCCCTGCTCATTGCTACTCTCTCTGTGTATTTTCTATATTATCTGATCTATCTTCTGCAAAGTATAGTTTGTTACAAAATGTTTGTCCAATATTCTGGAGCATAAGGCTTATTCGTAAATACTAGAAATGTAAATGTTTTTGCTATACTCACTCCAAGGAGGTTGCTTTGTCATGTAATACGTCAAGTTTCTGTTCGTATTTTGTAGTAGTTTATTCCTTAAGTTTCTTGGTTGATAGAAATCCAATTTGTATGATGTGATGCCAAATGAAAGAAACTGGGCGGTGGGGGGATTGTTTATTTCTCCCCATTTTAGATGTTTCAGTCTATATTTTGCAGTTCGTCACAGCTCACAGTGTACAAACCCTTTAACATTGCCTTAATCTATTTTACTTTTTGTTTTTATTTTTCCCCAGGTATATGAAAATGCCATCATTCAACCTGTTTGAATATTTCATCTTATTTGGTCTTTATTTTAACTGCTTTAGGGACGTTAACGGCTATAGTGAAGTTAAAGTAAGTTCTCTTAATTGACGTTTATACTATGTAAATATATGTTAACAATGTATTATTATTAATTGTAATATTGTGATGGGACATTGAGAAGTTTATTTTATAATATGTGTCCATTAGTCAGTGCTGAGTACGTTGATAATTAAACTTATTATTTATTTGAATTACTGACATAATTTTCTTTATAACCATTTTAATCTTTCCAGCCTGTGACAGATGATCTAATCTATTCAGGTAAGTTGTGTTTAAGTGTGCTGTTACTCAATGCTTTCCTCTCTCAGCAAACCTTACTGTCTGTAAATACCTAATATATGCAACTGATTTAACTCTAATTTCTAACCTTGTATTTAAATTAAATAATGCTGGTTGATATCTTTTTATTAAAAATGAGACAGATTTGAAAACATTGTAGGAGACAAAATCTTTAAAAACTAAAACATTTTTATTTCTTAAACTCTGAGCTGTAGCAAATGAAAATCCGAGTGGCAAAATTGAGGCAAAAATTGTTGATTTTAAAAAGTTCTCAAACTCAGCTATTTTCAGTTTAGTTCTCGAGCCTCAATTTTGACATCCGGATTCCATTAGCTAAAATTCTCACACTTTGAGTGCTGGAGTAGGGATAGTGATGAGCTGGTTCAAAGTACTCATGATAACAGTACAGCCCGTTCACTGCAAACTGCTTAAAGGACAACTGTCATCAAACTTTAATTTCTCATTTTCTCAGAATCTACTTACCTATAGTCACAGTTTGGTTATTTTATTTTAAAATATGAAATTTTAATTTTCGATTCACAACAATCGAACGTTTAAAGAATAAACCTGTCAATATATTTTATATGTTTGGATTTAGATTTGAATAATTATTATTATTACATTTCAGGATATGACTGCTCAGATATTTGGGTTAGAAACCAAAGATCTGTCAGCGGCGTTTACAGAATTAGACCTATTGGAGCCACAGATTATTTCGAGGTAGGAAATGTTACCATAACTTGCTACGAAATGTTAGTCAATGGGCTGTTAAAATGTATTTTTTTGCTTGTTGTTGATTCATTTATTTTACCAGGAATTCTGGAGTATTGACACGGGATCCAAAATTTTAAGGCCAAAACAGCCCGGCTGAAAAAAAAGAGACAAGTTGGCGAATTTTCAATTTTTCTATTTTGGCCTGATATTCATGATTCCTTTATTAAATTTAGATAAATGTACATAAATTTCATTTCAGTGAATATACTCAGCTGTGTAATTTCAGGAAAAAAAAATTAAAATGATGATTATATATTTTTTGCCAAGTCCAACTCTATTGGTCAATATAGACAAGCTTTAAATCGTAAAATGCTACTTTTTATCAACTCATCCATTATTGTCCTAAATGTGTTCTGTTGTCATTTCTCCACTTTTTCCAGTTTAGATCCACATTTTATATTATGAGATTTATTCACTTTCTGGGTCTAAATTTAGCATCTTGTATGTTAACAAACTACAATTCCTTTTCATGACAATAACCCCCTTTAGTCTACAGGCAGTATGTAATTAAGAGCCTCTGTATTAATTGTTAGGATAATAAACTAAATTAGCAGAAGGATCAATGTTGCTGTAATCAGACCAACTGTTTTTTTTTTTTTTTTTTAATGTATTACATTTTAGGCAGGGATGGTTAGGAGATAAAGCAGTTTTGCTAAGTTAGCAAGCTATGAATTGGGCTAAATTACATGTTGAATTATAAAGTGCAAACTAAAATGGTTTATGTTTTAAGCCAGGTAGGTAAATTTGTTAAAAGTCAGAAATGTTGTCCTTAAATTAGCAAATTTGGCTTCCAGTTTGAGCAATTTGCTGTTTATTAAATTAACCTCATTATGTAACTTGAAAAAGCACACAGTATGTAAAAAAGTTATTTTATCTTGTATAATAGAAATGTAATTTATTTGTAAAGTTTAGTGGCCGCTTACCAGTGCCATAAAAGTACATGATTAAATATTGGTTAATTGTTAAATTTTGAAAAATTCTTTATTTTTGTTGTGGAATTGTGCATATCTGCCAAATAAAAATACATTTTAATTGTTCAATTTTGATGGTAACTAAATGTTCATGTTTGACCTGCAGGCTTTCTGTGAAATGAAGAAGGACGGTGGCTTGACTCTAATCCAAAGCCACAATGGAAATGATGAATTGTCCTTCGACACAGATTGGATTGACTACAAAGAGGGATTTGGAACTCTAACTGGTAATTCAACATCAAACCTTTTTGTACAATGATGACAGAATCTCAGAAAGGAAGGAAAATTCAAGACTGGGGAAACCTAGAGCGCTCAAGATGTTGTGCACTACATCTCTCAGGGCTGGCCCGTTCATTGGCCCCAGGCGGCACTGTGACAGGGGCTGTACTACTCCAAATCTGGAGTGCGGGGACCACTATATATATGTGCAGTTCTTCTGGTGTGTACAATGAAAAAGGGTCTCTGGAATGTGATCTTATACCTCCAACAGCAGCAGGTTCTCTCCTCTCGAGAGCTTTTAGAGCGTTTGCCATAGCGCAGCACGTAATGGATGTCGGAGTGTTGCCATGGAAATCCACGGCAAAGCTCTCGCAACTTGCAAGAGTGGTGGTCCTGCTGCTGTTGGAGGTGTAAGATCACACTCCCGTGACCCCTCTTCATTGCCCGCCAGCTCCACAGGACCACCAGGGAATCTAGACAGGGAGGGGGTAATAAACATTAAATTTTTAACAAAGTTACAAATTTAAAAAAACTGCTTATCCCAATATTTAACTTAACACCACAAACACACTGCACCCACTATACACACACACTATATGAACTATACACACATACTATATCCATGATATGCACACACACACTGCATCCACTATACACACACACACACTGCATCTACTATACACACACACTACATCCATGATATGCACACAAACTGCATCCACTATATACACACACTACATCCACTATATACACATACACACACACATCATCCTCTATACACACACTGCATCCACTACACACACACACTATATTCACAATATGCACACACACTGCATCCACTATGCACACAGACTGCATCTTCTATACACACACTGCATCCACTACATACACTGCATCCACTATACACACACTGCATCCACTACATACACACATACACTGCATCCACTATACACACACTGCATCCTCTATACACACACACACACACACACACACACTGTATCCACAAAATGAAAACAAACTGCATCCTCTATACACACACACACACTGCATCCTCTATAACCACAAACACTATATCCTCTATACCCACACACACTGCATCCAATAAACACACACACTGCATCCACTATACACACACTTTGCATACTCTAAACACACACTATATCCACTACACACACACACACACTGCATCCACTATACACATACACACTGCATCCTCTACACACACACACAAACACTGCATCCCCTGTACACACACACTGCATCCACTATACACACACACTACATCCACTGTACACACACACTCTGCATCCTCTACAAAGACACAAACACTGCATCCACTGTACACACACACTGCATCCACTGTACACACACACTGCATCCTCTGTACACACACACATACTGCATCCACTATACACACACACTGCATCCACTATACACACACATGCAATGCACTTACTACACGTACTGCATACAATACACACAGACACTGCAACTTCACACACTGCATCCACTACACAAATACACACTCTACATCCACTATACGCACACACACACACACACACAATAAATTCAATACACACATTGCGTACATCACACACTCTGCATCCACTACTCAGACACTGCATTCATAACACACACGGCATAACATAATGGACATGTTTTGGTGGGTGTGGTTCTGTTGGAGGTGAAAGGGGGGCAGCATTCTATCCTTGGACCCAGGCAGCACAATGTGTTGGCCGACCCTGCATCTCCGATAATGTTATTACAGCTATAGTTTTGGCAAAGCATCAGGGGAGATGTAATCCACAATATCTGGAGTACCTAAGGCCGCCTACCCCTGCTCTAAGAAATGCATCAGATTATATATGCTGGCTGCAATAATAAGTGTATGTGTATATGTGCCTCCCTGCACATTACACCAAACCAAATGTCTGCCTGCAGTGCCCCTTTAAATACAGGTGATACTCAAAAAATTAGAATATCGTGCAAAAGTTCATTTATTTCAGTAATGCTAGGTAAAGGAGGAAACTAATATATGAGATGGACGCATTACATGCAAAGCAAAATAGTTCAAGACGTGATTTGTCATAAGTGCAATGATTATGGCTTACAGCTCATGAAAACCCCAAATCCACAATCTCAGTAAATTAGAATATTACATGCAATCAATAAAACAAGGAGTGTACATAAAACAATATCAGACCTCTGAAAAATATAAGCATGCATATGGACTCAGTACTTGGTTTGGGCCCCTTTTACAGCAATTGCTGCCTCAATGCAGCGTGGCATGGAAGCTATCAGCCTGTGACACATCTGATGAGTTATGGAAGACCAGGATGCTTCAATATCGGCATTCAGCTCTTCAGCATTGTTCGGTCTCATGTCTCTCATCTTTCTCTTGGCAATGCCCCATAGATTCTCTATGGGGTTCAGGTCAGGCAAGTTTGCTGGACAATCAAGCACAGTAATCCTACGGTCATTGAACCAGGCTTTGGTGCTTTTGGCAGTGAAGTCAGAATCCCCATAAAGCTTGTCTGCGGAAGGAAGCATGAAGTGCTCCAAAATCTCCTGGTAGATGGCTGCATTGACCCTGGACTTAATAAAGCACAGTGGACCAACACCAGCAGGTGACACGGCTCCCCAAATCAACACAGACTGTGGAAACATCACACTGGACTTCAAGCATTTTGCAGTGTGTGCCTCTCCAGACTTTGGGTCCTTGGTTTCCAAATGAGATGCAAAAGTTGCTCTCATCAGAAAAGAGGACTTTGGACCACTAAGCAACAGACCAGGTCTGTTTTTCTTTAGCCCAGGTAAGACGCTTCTGACGTTGTTTGTTGTTCAGGAGCGGTTTGACAAGAGGCATACAACATCTGATGCCCATGTCCAGGATCCGTCTGTGTGTGGTGGATCTTGATTCACTGACTCCAGCCTCAGTCCACTCCTTGTGAAAGTCCCCAACACTTTTGAATGGCCTTTTCCTGACAATCCTCTCCAGGCTGCAGTCATCCCTGCTGCTTGTGCACCTTTTTCTTCCACACTTTTCCCTTCCACATAACTTTCTATTAATGTGATTTGATACAGCACTTTGGGAACATTCAACGTCTTTTGCAATTACCTTTTGAGGCTTTCCCTCCTTATGGAGGGGGTCAATTATGGTTTTCTGCACAACTGTCAGAATTTGATTCCTACTGAGACCATTTAAAGGCTCAGAAACCCTTTGCAGGTGTTATAGCTTACTTAGCTGATTAGAGTGGAACACTGTGAGCCTGGAATATTGCACCTTTTCACAATATTCTAATTTACTGAGATTGTGGATTTGGTGTTTTCATGAGCTGTAAGCCATAATCATTGCACTTATGACAAATCACAGCTTGAACTATCTTGCTTTGCATGTAATGCATCTATCTCATATATTAGTTTCCCCTTTTACGTTGCATTACTGAAATAAATGAACTTTTGCACGATATTCTAATTTTTCGAGTATCACCTGTACTTAGAGACAATTCCCTGTGTAGGTACTGGGCTATTTTATGACTGAATGTGTGTGATCTCAATGTCATTTCTTGTTGAAGGGGAACATTGGCTGGGACTTGAAAATATGTATCTGCTGACCCATCAGGGTTCCAGAGCTGCAGACCTGCTTATCAGCCTGGGAGACTTTGATAAATCCAAGGCTTTTGCGCTATACAGTCCTTTTACCATCGGCTCCGAGGACATGCAGTACAGGATATCGCTAGGAAACTATTCTGGGAATGCAGGTACGGGGTCTGAAGATATCTGTAATGACTTCTATGTTAACACTGTCAGACGTATTCACTAAAGGGTCAATGCAAAGGGAATTTCAAATTAAGGTCTTCTACGAACTTCAAAAATCTTCTCTAAGTCAGCTGTGCTTTTGCTCCTTTGGCCTTACATTTGAAATTTACTTTCAATTCTCACTTTAGTAAATAACCTTATATATGTTTTTTTTAGCTATATAATGTTTTATGGACATTGCACTGAACATAACATATTGCCTGTTGTATCTCATATCCCATGGCTAGCTAGAATCAGGGGAGGGCTGGCATGTTTTGGCACAGTGGTGTTTCCAAAGAAACAGCACTTTAAAAAACTGCTTCAGCCCAAAAACAATACTCTTCTTTCAGAAATGATCCTAAAATAGGGACTGTTCTAGGAAATCTATTAGAATTAGCAATTATATAATAATTATAATAATAATAATAATAATGTGTATAAACAAATCAACTGTAATGGTTATTCTGTTATAGTTATTCGAAAACATAAAATCAATTTATATACTGAGAATTTCTAGATAAATAGCTCGGAGTGGAATAGTCCCGTCCCCCTAAATGGTACATTTTTGTTTTTTTCTTTGATATACAAATACTACTAGAAAAAATGCAAATATCTGGAGCCTGAATATAAACACTGGCTGCTTAGAATGTTCTGCATCAATATAAAGAATGTGTACAGAATACGTTCTATTCCAATATAAAGAATGTGTACAGAATATGTTCTACTCCAATATAAAGAATGCGTAAAGAATACGTTCTATTCCAATATAAAGAATGCGTATAGAATACGTTCTATTCCAATATAAAGAATGCGTACAGAATACGTTCTATTCCAATATAAAGAATGCGTACAGAATACGTTCTATTCCAATATAAAGAATGCGCACAGAATATCTTCTACTCCAATATAAAGATCACAACCAATAGAGATATATAATGATATAGTGAAAATACTTCCAGTTCTGTTTTGAAATATGCTAGCCCATCTGAACTGAGACAATCAACTATCTTTGAAAAGTCAACAGAATTCGGAGAACAGTCCGGTGACCATAAAGTACAACATGATCCGTTATCTAGTGTAATTTGTCCAAAGATCCAACTATTGTGGGCGATATAAGTTGCCCTAACAAATACGCATGCACTGTATTAGAAAATACATTTTACATTTACTGCATTGTTACTTTAAATGCCGAACTATTGCCTCGATCTAATATTTTTGCATTAGCTTTTCAGATTATTTAATATTTTTTTAATAAACTATTTTTAATAATATTTTTAAACTCATATATACAGGGAGTGCAGAATTATTAGGCAAGTTGTATTTTTGAGGATTAATTTTATTATTGAACAACAACCATGTTCTCAATGAACCCAAAAAACTCATTAATATCAAAGCTGAATATTTTTGGAAGTAGTTTTTAGTTTGTTTTTAGTTATAGCTATGTTAGGGGGATATCTGTGTGTGCAGGTGACTATTACTGTGCATAATTATTAGGCAACTTAACAAAAAACAAATATATACCCATTTCAATTATTTATTATTACCAGTGAAACCAATATAACATCTCAACATTCACAAATATACATTTCTGACATTCAAAAACAAAACAAAACAAATCAGTGACCAATATAGCCACCTTTCTTTGCAAGGACACTCAAAAGCCTGCCATCCATGGATTCTGTCAGTGTTTTGATCTGTTCACCATCAACATTGCGTGCAGCAGCAACCACAGCCTCCCAGACACTGTTCAGAGAGGTGTACTGTTTTCCCTCCTTGTAAATCTCACATTTGATGATGGACCACAGGTTCTCAATGGGGTTCAGATCAGGTGAACAAGGAGGCCATGTCATTAGATTTTCTTCTTTTATACCCTTTCTTGCCAGCCACGCTGTGGAGTACTTGGACGCGTGTGATGGAGCATTGTCCTGCATGAAAATCATGTTTTTCTTGAAGGATGCAGACTTCTTCCTGTACCACTGCTCGAAGAAGGTGTCTTCCAGGAACTGGCAGTAGGACTGGGAGTTGAGCTTGACTCCATCCTCAACCCGAAAAGGCCCCACAAGCTCATTTTTGATGATACCAGCCCAAACCAGTACTCCACCTCCACCTTGCTGGTGTCTGAGTCGGACTGGAGCTCTCTGCCCTTTACCAATCCAGCCACGGGCCCATCCATCTGGCCCATCAAGACTCACTCTCATTTCATCAGTCCATAAAACCTTAGAAAAATCAGTCTTGAGATATTTCTTGGCCCAGTCTTGACGTTTCAGCTTGTGTGTCTTGTTCAGTGGTGGTCGTCTTTCAGCCTTTCTTACCTTGGCCATGTCTCTGAGTATTGCACACCTTGTGCTTTTGGGCACTCCAGTGATGTTGCAGCTCTGAAATATGGCCAAACTGGTGGCAAGTGGCATCGTGGCAGCTGCACGCTTGACTTTTCTCAGTTCATGGGCAGTTATTTTGCGCCTTGGTTTTTCCACACGCTTCTTGCGACCCTGTTGACTATTTTGAATGAAACGCTTGATTGTTCGATGATCACGCTTCAGAAGCTTTGCAATTTTAAGAGTGCTGCATCCCTCTGCAAGATATCTCACTATTTTTGACTTTTCTGAGCCTGTCAAGTCCTTCTTTTGACCCATTTTGCCAAAGGAAAGGAAGTTGCCTAATAATTATGCACACCTGATATAGGGTGTTGATGTCATTAGACCACACCCCTTCTCATTACAGAGATGCACATCACCTAATATGCTTAATTGGTAGTAGGCTTTGAGCCTATACAGCTTGGAGTAAGACAACATGCATAAAGAGGATGATGTGGTCAAAATACTCATTTGCCTAATAATTCTGCACTCCCTGTATATATATATATATATCATATCATAAATAGAAAATATATCAATATATCAAAGAATGTCAAAATAATGAAAATGATATGAAGTCATTTTGAGATTGTAAGCAAAAATAATAATTCATTTGAAAAGCTAATCCAAGAATATTAAGTCAAGGCCTCAAAGGCTTTAAGATGAAAATGTAATTTGATACTTCCCCACTACTTGTTTTTATCAATTCCAAAGATTGCTTCTGTTAGATGTTCGCAGCTTAGCTTTGGCAACTTTACAGCAATATCAATTATTTTCTGTTAGGAATAAAATGCAAAAATTCCTTAGTATTGCCGTATGCAATGTTACTTTTTTTAGGTCAGGATTAATATATATATAATAATATTATTTATTTATTTATTTTTATATATATTTTTTTCTGTTAGGAGATGCTTTCAGACAAAGATTTAATGAAGATGATGAAACATCCAATCAGGATGGGAGCTCTTTCAGCACCTGGGACAGAGACAATGACAACTGTAACCCATGCTTTATGGGTGATATAGCCTTCAACAGCTGTCCCCGGGTTTATGGCTCAGGCTGGTGGTTTAATGGATGCGGATTAGCAAATCTGAATGGAGATTGGCACCCGGCCTGGAGTAGTATTGCCAGGCTTTCCTCTGTGTCTTGGGAAACATATCGAAGCAACAAGTCTCTGAAATTTAGTAAGATGTACATAAAAAACTATTAACGGGAACATTTTACTGAAGACACGTCTTCAGTGTTTGTTCGTAGAGTTTGTATAATTTTTAAATGGTCTTGGATATATTTACTCATTGTTTTGGAAATGATTGTGCTGATTTAAATAAAAAGAAAATACATCCCCAGTCTCGCTCTGTTTCTTTTGGAAAGAAAATGCTAAATTGCATACAGTTTATATATATATAAATATATTTGTTTTTTATTTAAAAATATATATATAATTTTAAATAAAATACAAAATTGACCTATATGTTTTCAAGAAAAGAAAAGCAAAAACAACTTGTTCATAAATTAAATTCACTTTTCATGTGAAATGTTTTTGATTGAATAGTTTTGCAATTTTAACAAATTAATCAATAATAATAATAATCAACATTTATCAAAATAACATAAGTGAATCAATACTCGTTAAGAAAAAAATAAAAATTGCAAAATAAAAAAAGTGAAAAGAACACTTATACACTTAATTATACTTTTACACTTGGATCCGCCCTTCCGGATGCGTAATTGCGTCATGTCTACGCGTTTCGCCGTGCACAGACAGCTTCGTCAGGATGTTTGAAGCTTATCCGGTCCTTGCTTCTAAGGGCTCATATATGGGCAAATGTCCATTTTTAATTGGTTAAGTCCAGAATTTTAGATTTACATATTGCAATCTAACCCAAGCTTTTCGGAACAGCTTCATAATTTAAAGTGACACCGACTTTCATACATCAAGCCGTCCTTACTAATCAAAAAAACATATGCAATATAATCCAAACAGCTAAAAAAAAATTGATGAAATAGTACTTCTTTAAACGGATAAAACATCTTATGGACCAACAAAGAATTAAACATTCTAAAATTTCATCCTATTGAACTCATGAGGCAAAAGAGCAAAAAATGAATGTTAATAAATGTTATTCACATATTGGTAATATTCACCTTCTTATGTACTCTATTTATTATAAAGCAGGTGCTCTTATATAAATATACTCTTCTATGAACCCCCCCCAAAAAAACAAGGGTGTTGTTGGAGCAAAATGTGTCATTAAAACACTAGCGGACATTCTATTTAGCAGAGTGCCACAGTGAGAATTAATATCCAAAACAGTGAGAGAATGAGGTGAACATTATGGAACACCAGCTTATGCAAATGAAAGTATTGAAAATATATAAATATATCAAAATATGTGCATCTAAAAATATACATAAATAAAGGGCAAATCCCTCATATTTTAAAACATGTATACATATAAACAATATATATATATAAATACAGGGTGTTATTGGAAGATAGGGGGATATAAAAAGCAAATGAAGAAAAAAGAAAAAAGAGGGGGTGGCGTCTAGTTTAAAAAATAGCAGATCTCGAAATCATTATTGAGTCCATTGGGGATAAGGGTGTTTAGTTCAAATATCCACCTCATCTTTGTACAGCCCAGACGTTGTATAAAATTCCCTCATCTCCAGTTCCTATTAAGTATTAACCTATTGAATGCCCATAAATTCTAATAAAGATGGATCTGAATTGTGGAACTCTTGAAAATATAAAGACACTTGATGTTGTTGGTACTTTCTTTTGATGTTATATGTGTGTTCGCATATCCTAATTCGGTCCACAAGTGCAAGTTACAGATGTTACAGGTTTTAAGGTCTTTTATTTTGTATATCTTTCCATTGGCGTCAAACTCTTTAATACATTGTTTTTGTGTTACAGCAGGCAATTCCCACATCTAAAATATCCTTTTAGTTGGTTTAAAAAGTTAGATTTGTTTTTATTGGTATTTGGGATGTTGTTAGTTAAAATTCTCTTCATATTTTGTACTCCCCTATATACAATCCTGGGGTTGGGGCATAAAATAGTCGATAGGACTGGGGCTTTCAATAGCCAATGCCAATGGTTCGAGATTATGTTCCTTACTTTATTATTATGGATCCCTGAGAATTGGCAGATGAACGGCACGTTGTTCCTGCTTTCTTATACCCTGAGCTTTATGTTCTACCAGTATCTCCCTATCTAATAATTGTGTTTCTTCCGCAGCTTTTTGCAAAATATGATTATTATAACCTCTCTCCCTGAAGTCTGCTATGATACGTTGACTTTGTTGAGTGAATATACTTTGGTCCGTGCAGTTTCTTCTGATCCTAATTAGCTGGCTTTTTGGGATGTTTTTCAACCAAGGACTATAGTGACAACTGCTGGTTTCTATGTAGCTATTCACATCGATGCATTTAAAAAAAACATGGTCTCAATTCTCCCTTTTTCCACGTTGATAGTTAAATCTAAAAAGTTGACTTCACTCGCACTGTAGTTAAATGTTAAATTAATACCCCACTTATTGGAGTTAATAAATGTAATAAAAGAATTCAGAAGTAGTTCTCCACCCTCTCCAAATGAAAATCAGGTAATCAATATAGCGCTTATATAGCACAAATTTCGTCTCTCAGCCACTACCCTCTCCCATATGGAAAGATTCCCAATGGGCCATGAAGAGATTGGCGTTGCTGGGAGCAAACTTGGTGCCCATTGCTATACCACATACCTGAAGATAAAACTCGTTGTTAAACCAAAAATAGTTATTCTCTAAAATAAGTTTAATAGAGTCCAGAACGAATTGGATTTGATTGCTAGGATAGGGAGATGTATTATTTAAATAATGGCTTATAGCTCTGATCCCTAGTTCATGGCCAATATTGGTATACAGAGCGGACACATCCGCCGTGACTAGGAGAAAATCCTCCTGCCATTTGGTTTGGTGTAGCTCCTTTAAAATACTAGTCGTATCTTTTAGATACGATGGGCAGGCTTTCACTAAAGTTTGTAGTATATAGTCTACATACTCCAAATGTCTACAGGATATTGAATTAATACTGTAGATCTTCCCGGGGGGTTGTATCTAACTTTATGCAATTATTGAAGGAAGTAGAAAATAGGTATTCTCTCAAACTTAATCCCTATATAGTCCCTCGCTTTTACATCTGTATATGTTTTTTTGATTAGTAAGTACGGCTTAATGTATGAAAGTCGGTGTCACTTTAAGTTATGAAGCTGGTCCGAAAAGCTTGGGTTAGATTGCAATATGTAAATCCAAGATTCTGGACCTAACCAATTAAAAATGGACATTTGCCCATATATGAGCCCTTAGAAGCAAGGACTGGATCAGTTTCAAACGTCCTGACCAAGCCATATGTGCACGGCAAAACGTGTAAACGTGACGCAATTACGAATCAAGGTGGGCGGAGCCAAGTGTGACCGGGAATACGAACGGCAGCTACACAGCTCAGAACTTTGACTCCACCAGGCGTACCCTGCCGTAATCTCGAATCTGCATGGGAAACCCCAAGTGTGGGAAAGCATGGTTGTGAGTAGCGAGTATATGCACCGTTATACTCACCATTCAATTCTGTAAGCAGCAACCTGGTTGCATATTTCTTTGCTATATTAGAGTTTTCCATACTCTATTTTTAGTGCTTTTTTTAACCTATTGGTTTCTAATAAATTGTTATTTTTATCATTAATCTACCAATCAGCATATTGAATGTGATTACAGTACAATCAATATAAGTGCAACAAAACTATTCATACTGATCTGCACTATTACCATTTCTCAATTTCTTTTTTGCATGTATTATACTGCCCTGGCTCTGTGATTGTCATCTACCTGCAGTATAAGTATAATTGCTATTTTGAATTTTATATGCATGTGGTATGGGGCTTTTCACCTAAATATCGCTCCACTTCTTGAATTTTTGTTAGAGAACGCAAAGCAGACTTATTTTTGCTACTGTAACGTTACCAGCTCATTGCTTCCAATTTAAAACATTTTATTGCTAGACTAGAAACTAGAAGTATCTTTCTGATCTCCATGTTGGTAGGCAGGGAAGGGTTTGTTTAATAACTAACATAACAATAGAAATCAGCCATCTGATTGGCCAGGCCTTGGTTATAGCTGTCCGCAAGGTATATTAAAAGGAAGGGATCATGAAGTAGATGGGATATAGGATCTTGCTACTGTACTGCACTGACTGACAGGTATGGGGCTCCTCTGTGATCCTTTCCGTGTTTTCATCTTCCCTTTCTGTGCTTTCAATGTTATCTGATCGGTGTTGCGCAAAGTGTATTTTATAACATAGGTTAGAATGATCACAAGTCGATAGATATTTACTAATTCTAGCTTCACTTACTGGTGGATGATAAATGTTTCGTAGGTTTTTTTCGTGGGGAGAGGGGGTTGTTTCAAATTGCGGGATTTCCTGACAATTTATTTTTACTAAGTTATGAATGTGTGAATAGATGAGGGAATTGCAGAATTTAGCTATAATGTAAAAATAGCATGGTTTGGATTATATCGCCATTTTCCTTCAGCTCTCTCTGATTCTCCGTTTAGTGAATAAGTCCGTCTATTGTATTTTTCTGTAAGTTTGCCAAAATGGATTTGTAGCCAATGTCCACGGGTCACAGTGTTCTGTGACAAAAGGGTACGCTTCGTTGTATTGTTCCTGGATGCAGGATATAAATTAAGCCACTAATTTCTCATTAAACAATATTTCTTTATATATTTCTATTCTCAGGAATATGAAAATGTCGGCATTTCATTTCTTTGGATGCCTGCTGGTATTTTACTCCTATTTTAATTGTTTTAACACCCAGGTAAGTGATGAAACAACATTTATTTGGCTTATTCTATAACATCTCGATTCTAGTCCATTGAAATCCAAATTGCAAAAAATTATTGATCGGGAAAAATTCAACTAAGCAATAGTCACACCTTTACTGATTTAGCCGACATTTTGCCATTTTAGTTTAAGTTCACAGCAATAGTTTGGAGTTTGATTGGGTTCATTTTACTGTTTTGAATAACCCTTGTGTGCTTATTTAATTGGCATGCATATTATGTAGACAAGCACATATTATAAAACAATTGTGATTAGAGTTTTTTTTTTAATTTAGTTTTCTGATATTTGTTCCTCCAGGTGTATCAAGGAGAATCTGTTACCCATGCTAAATGTTTTTACAGATTTTTTTTTGATTTTTTTTTTTTTTAAAAAACACATTTACTCTCAGAACATTTTCCCCAGGTTTTGCTCTGGATATTTTGAAATATAGCAATGTGATATATTATAACTTTATTGATTCCCCTCTCTGGGGCCTCTTTGTTCCTCGTGATGAGAGCAACTCGTAGTGGGACAAAAGATCTCCTCTGATCTGGTTTATTATTATTACTATTATTATTATGATATTTATAGAGCGCCGTCAAATTCCGCAGCGCTTTACAATGGGTGGATGAACAGACATGTAGCTGTAACCAGACAAGTTGGACACACAGGAACAGAGGGGGTTGAGGGCCCTGCTCAATGAGCTTACATGCTAGAGGGAGTGGGGTAAAATGACACAAAAAGGTAAGGATAGTATTAGACTAGTGACAGTTGCAGAAGAGGAATCAGTCAGGAGCTATTAACAGTTTAATTGATACGCTTTTATGAAGAAGTGGGTTTTTAACGATTTTTTGAAGGAGTAGAGACTGGGTGAGCATCTAACAGAGGAGGGAAGCGAGTTCCACAGGAACGGTGCAGCCCTCGAGAAATCTTGAAGGCGAGCATCAGAGGTGGGAGTACTGACAGAAGATAGACGTAAGTCTTCAGCAGATCGTAAGGGCCTAGACGGGACATACTTGTGTATAAGGGAGAATAGATAGGTGGGAGCAGCATTATGTAGAGATTTTGAAGGCAAGAACCAGAATTTTAAATTGAGCTCTATATTTTATAGGAAGCCAATGTAGGGACTGACAGAAGGGTGAGGCATGGGAGGTGCAGGCGGACAGGAAGATGAGCCTCGCCGCCGCATTCATTATGGACTGTAACGGCGCAAGTTGGGAGCACGTAAGACCACTGAGAAGCGGATTACAGTAGTCAAGGCGAGAAAGGACAGTGGAATGGACCAACACCTTAGTCGCATCTGGCGTTAAGTAGGGGCGGATGCGCGCAATGTTTTTGAGATGGAAATGACAGGATTTGGCGATAGATTGAACATGAGGCTTGAAGGAGAGGTCGGAGTCAAAGAGAACACCTAGGCAGCGAGCCTGCGTGGTGGAGCTGATGGTAGCACCGTTGACTTGGAGGGAGACAGACACAGGAGTAACAACACTTGAGGGAGGAAAGACCAGAATTTCAGTTTTGGTCAAGTTTAGTTTAAGGAAGTGGGCAGCCATACAGTTAGAAACAGCAGAGAGGCAGTCAGAGACACTAGTAAAGAGGGACGGGGAGAGATCAGGAGAGGACGGGTAGATTTGCGTGTCATCTGCATAGAAATGATATTGGAAGCCAAAGGAGCTAATGAGTTTACCAAGGGAGGCAGTATAGATGGTTTATTGAGGTAATTGCTAGTTTAGAATAAGCCCGCTTTGCAGTCTCCACTCGAGTGCTCCCCTTGTTGTTAACAGAGTACATTGAAGAGAAGTGGAGGGGAATATTGTAAAGGGGGGGCAGAGAGAGAAAAGCAAGGGGGTAGCCAAGTTTCCATGGAATGGATGGGGCAAGTTCCATGGACACAGAAAGAATGGGTGGGGCAAGTTCCATGGGCACAGAAGGAATGGATGGGGCAAGTTCCATGGGCACAAAAGGAATGGATGGGGCAAGTTCCATGGGCAAGAAAGGAATGGATGAGGCAATTTCCATGGGCAAGAAAGGAATGGATGGGACAATTTCAATGGGCACAGAAGGAATGGATGGGGCAAGTTCCATGGGCACAGAAGGAATGGATGGGGCAAGTTCCATGGGCACAGAAGTACTGGATCGGGCAAGTTCCATGGGCACTGAAGTACTGGATCGGGCAAGTTCCATGGGCAAGAAAGGAATGGATGGGGCAAGTTCCATGGGCAAGAAAGGAATGGATGGGGCAAATTCCATGGGCACAGAAGGAATGGATGGGGCAAGTTCCATGGGCACAGAAGGAATGGATGGGGCAAGTTACATGGGCAAGAAAGGAATGGATGGGGCAAATGACAAAAAGACAAATGAAAGAAGGAACTAAGGGGTACAAGAAAGGATAAGTGGGTAAAATTGACCTAGAGTAGTGAGAAAGGTAAATGTTATAGAAAGTGAATCTGTTATGTTCAATTAACTTTAACCCCTTAAGGACCAAACTTCTGGAATAAAAGGGAATTATGACAAGTCACACATGTCATGTGTCCTTAAGGGGTTAAACAGAAATAACTATTTTAAGAGCACCATGCTCAAAGGAAGAGTACAATTGCAAATTTGGTTTGTCAAAAAAAACAAAAAAACCCAGTTTGGATTATAGTGTAGGACAGTGATGGCGAACCTATGGCACGCGTGCCACAGGTGGCACACCGGGCCCTCTCTGTGGGCACGCGGCCATAGGTTCACCATCAATGTAGAGTAGGCACCTGCCTGCCCAAAACGGCAGGCGCCTACCCTGCTTCCGTGTCGGGAGGCAGGGGGAGTGATCTGTGAAGAAGCTCCCCTGTGCTCCCGCGAGCAATCAGTGTGGAACGTTGCCACGCGTTACCATGGCAACGCACCACACAGCATCGCGCGGGAACCGCTCCCTACAATAATTACCACCACTGGACCATCAGTGATGGCTGTGTCCTCCCCCTCCTTCATTGCAGGTAAGAAGGAGGGAGGGGGGATACAGCTTTTGCATACCTTTTTTT